TTTTAATCAACGATTTATATATAATATAATATAAGTAATATGAAATAGAAATATGAGTTTTCCGACGAAATTTCAAGTTTACGAGTATTTTTAATTGAATCACAACGAATAACAAAACTGAAAAATAATATAAGCATTATTTTTGTAAATTTCCCGTTTTTCTTACATTTTATACTGGTTTTTCCCAGATATTATGAAAACCGCTTGGAAAATCAAAAAATGACCTAAAAATACCATCTGGACAATATTCCCTTTCAGAAATAGTGTCGCGTGTATATATCTGAGCAAGATTTCTGGTAGAATTTTTGTACACAATATAAAAAAAAAAAATAAACATCTTAGTAAAACCAATACATTCTTTGCTACACTCAGAATCTAAAAAAAAAAAAAAAAAAAAAATAAATAGTTAAAAAAATTGAAAAAATAGAATTTAAATGCATATTTTTTCTTCAATAATACAAATTGCATGTTTGTGCCGAAACAAATGACCTAGTTTGTTATAATTATTATCACATGCGTCTGATTAATTGTTATAACCCAATTTGATTTTGATATTAAATATTTACAAGTAATCGATTACTATACCTATTATATGCGTTCAGCACAATAAAAAAAAAAATTGATTTATTGATTTTATTGCTGATAATTTATGTTGGTGACGTTATTATTTGTGTTAGAAAAGTCACACGAAAAGTACCGAGGAACATCTCACAGCAGTACATTTTATGTAGACTAATATTTTTTCAGACAGATTGGCTTACCTTCAGTGCAATAGCTAGGTTAGGTTAGGTATTTGTGTGCCTCGGTTCAAATTGATCTAGGTGCATCATAAACATAAATGCAATTAGGGAGGCTCTATAGTCACTATTAAGTCTCCTCAAACATTTTAGTTTTGGCTCTTCATATAATCTACAAGGTAAATAAATAAACAAAATGTTAAATATGCAAAATATTATCGTTTTTCACTACGAACGGTGATTTTTCACTATAACTATCCTGGGAAATTCCTAAATATTTAGCAAAAAGCCTTATCACAACCGGATGAACATCGGTATGGCAGCTAATAAAATACAAATAAATAGGCAAATTTTCTATTTTATACATTAAATATTAGATTATAGGTATGGGCACAACATATTTTTTAAATTTAGATATAATTTGGTGTAAACAAAATCGAAAGATATCTGTCACTAAAATCATAGTAAATAAAATGTCAAATTTTATTTTTGCTTTTTAAAAAAAAAAAGTTATGGTAACAATAAAATAATTAATATCAAAGTTCTATTTGTCATAAGTTATAAATAAGTAGTATTAATTTGAGTTACGTAATTTTAAAAACAGTGTTAGATAGTAATTTTTTTATTAGACAAACTCCTTTCTATCTTTAAAATTAAAATATTATTGAGTTTTTTTTGAGACGTTGTATTTCTTAAATAATTGTTGACCATTTTTAATTTAGAAACTGATTACTTGGCTGAAGTGACAATTACAGGTGTATTTAAAAATATCGTGCATGCAGTAGTAATACCTGGAAAGCTACTTGAAAGATCATTTTCTATTAAGTAATTTAACATACTAAGGCAGTTTAATTTGATTAATAATTGATTTAAAAGATAATATTTGTCGAATAAAATTAATCATCAATTTATTTTCATTAGTAGTATTACAGATTTCATTATTAAAACTGTGCAACTTTTCTGTCTTTACGTTTTTTCTGTGTCATCAGACATTAATTATTCTATAGTTGATTTTTTATCAGAGTGAACAAAGTTGTCTACATTTTTAGGAAAAGCTATGTTAATAAATACGTATAACTTACAATATGATAATACACTGAATTGGTATTTTTCATAAAACACGAACAGTACTTAGGTATAAGTGAAATCAAAAAAAAGAGCTGATAATGGTGACGGGTGTATCACTGTTGTGAGTAGCAAGTTTCGAAGGTATTAACAACGATAAACTATTGCTAACGAAAAAAAGATTCGAAATGCCGTAATATTTAAAATTTTTGTTAAAATTTGATTTCAAAAACATATGTAAAAAAAAAATACTAAATATTACATAATAATTAATTTTTCTGGCCACTAAGTTCAACTAAATAAACCTCGTGTCAAATAGAGTACCTACCAAATAAAAATTACGTATAAATTTGCAAAATTAAAATATCTATAAATAGCTTAAATATGGCTCAAACGATTTGAATATTTTCTACGTCTATTTAAGGGAAATATAAGTTTTCCGTCAAATTTTCAAGTCTTTATGAATATTTTTAACTATATTACAATAAAAAAACAAAATTGAAAATAATAAAATAATAATTGTTGTAAATTTATCTATTATTTCTACGTTTTATTTTTGTTTTTTCCAATTATTTTGAAAACTACTGAATGTATCAAAAAATTAATTTTTTCGTCAATGGCTCAATATTTTAAAGAACAAAAAGGTATCTTGATACTTTTGATTAAAGCAATATTTTTGGTAGAAAACATTGTGTGAACGAATTAAGAAATAATGAAACCGATATAGTCGCGGTGCCGTGAATATTTGTCCAGTTTTCCTGGCTCAAATTTCAGAGTGGAGGAAAGAAGCTTATGGTTTTTACAAAGATGTTTATTATTATTATTTTTTTTTTTATCTGTTTGCAACTTTTCTACCAGAAGACTTGCTCAGCACTTTTTTTGAAAGGAAATCGTTATGGGGAGGGACTTTGGGGAGGTCATTTTTCGATTTTTTCGGGAGTTTTCTCATCAAATTTGAAAAACCGAAAAAAATCGGAAGAAAAACGGAAAATATAATAAATGTGGGTATTAGATAAAATGTATACGGACTTCTTTTTTCCTGTGAACAATTTTTCTGCCAGCAATTTTACTCCAATTTATAATTATAGCAATTTTTCTAAAAGGAAATCCAACTGTGGAGGTACTTTAAAGAAGTAATTTTTCGATTTTCTTAAAAGTTTTCCTAATAAATGTGAAAAACCGGGATAAGATATGGACATTAGTAGATATTTTTTATTAAAGTAAAATAATTGATACCTACCTTACCTACACTAGATTGTAGATTTCAAGCGGGTTATTGCTATTAACTGAACGACAACGATTTCAAGTAAAGTTTAAATTGGTAACTGATTAAAGAACCATATAATTTTGTGATATTCCATTGATGTTCGACGGATAAAATCTAAATTTAGCTCATTTAAATCACGATAATGCGATCCATAAACGATAAAATGACTCAAACGTTCGATAATTGAGTATTCCATTTTATCAATATTGAGGACCTTTATACAATTATCCTCATGAAACTATACGATCCTATATTACCGTCTGCTTAGTACCTACATAATAACTATAAAGGCCATTTTAATATTCATTATCTTACAATATTTTAATTCACATAATTTTATTTGGATATTATTTTCCTTTTTCTTTATTGTATTGAATATTTTTGGTCACATTATTAGGTAATTGGTAGTGCCCTTTCAAGATTACCTGCCCCGGTTCAATGCACCGCCTGCATTGGCGGTTTTTACGACACTGCTTACATTATTATTAATAATATTAATCATAGTTGTTTAATGTACCCGACCTATATTTTAGTGTGAGTAAGGTGACGTGTATATCTGTGTTACTCCAAATGAATCAAATAAAATATCGAATGGTATACAATATGCAGTTATACTATATGGTCTTAAATAATTTTATTTAGTCCCCTCCCCAAAAAAAAATCCTGAGTGTGATTTTGGTCCTAATAATATTTTCCCTAAAAATAAATGTGTTCTCTTGAAAATAATTGACCCATAATTATCAAACTCTAATTCCACCACTGCATAATTCCTATATTATAACCCATAGTATATCATCAAAATTATACTCTGGTATCAAATACAATGATATAGTTGTATACGGTTTTGTATAACTAATCCTTATTTTAACCGCTAGTTGCGCTTACAGAAGGTATAACGTACCACGTTACTTTTAAATTTATATCGTATGCCACGTATGCCACATAATAAGGCTTATTTATTATCTTAAATCGTGGTTCGTAGTTTTATTTGCAGAAATCGGCGTCCTTTCTCTGGTGTTCATGGTTATAGAATATCCAGTTGGTTGAATTTGGTAAATCGTTTTATACGGGTTTTATACCAGAATAGTTTCATGATGTAATAATTATATTTTAAGGTCAAATGGGTATTATATCTAAATTAACAACTATTGGCTAATGTTATCAGTGATAATAGGGAATGATAGTTATACTTTCTCTAAGTTTTGAGGATCTGAGTTGTCAAGTGTATGAATGGGGCAACGGCTCGTAAATATACGGTGAATCGAATGGTATAGTATGATAAAGAGAACGATAACAGTGGTAAAAAAATGGATTAAAACATATACAGGACTGTGAACGAACGGCAAGACGAGCATGATGATCTGTTCACAAAAATCAACTGGTAATGGGATACGCGCGGGTTATTTTTTTCTCTATGAACCCGAGTGCCGTCTTAGTGTATTTTTTTGTAACTAAACACTTTACCAGGATTTAGAATGAGAACGCTGGTAATTTTCGGTTACTCGAGAATATGGCTATTTAATACGTGGCATTTATGTAGTACAGCGAGGTGGAATTTGGCCGACATTAGTCTTTGTCGACCATTTTCTCGGGGATTGGCACCATGTATGAACCTACTTGGTTTCATTTTATTTTAAATTACAATTTGATAAAATGACAGTTCTTTTTTAAAAATAATTTTAAAATAGGACAACATCACTGCAGATAGTTTATACTGTCGTAGCAGTGATCAAAAAAATAATGCATAAAACGAAAACAAACAAAATTTCGATACAGGTATTATTACAAGACCTACAATTTGTATAATTGCTCTAATTTATATGACGTATTGAAATGAGTTTTCGATGCCGCTCTTGTTTACACGCACCTTAAAGTTGTTGTGCGAGGGCAAATAAATAGGTTGTAGCCATAAATCTAAAATATATTTTTAGATTAAACATCATTTGTTTGAACACGGATACCCGTTTGAATGAAAAATTGTATAAATGCATTCTATGTTTTACTAAGATTTGCTGGTATATAACGTTATTGCAACACGAAAAATATATTTGTTTTTCTGGCATATACAGATACGAAATATTATTCGCAAATTTATATTATTTCATTATGAATATTTACACGTTGTTTAAAATCATTTTTATCGTAGGGTATTATTTGGGTAGGTAACATTTCTTATAAACAATTGTCAAGTTAACTACTTTTCGTATTCAATTGATTAAGTCATACAATTCTAAAAAATAGAAATTTTATTAGGTGATCTTTTTTTATTCTAACACTTTCAATACAATGTATTTAAGAGCGATTATTTGTTTGATTTCAATAATAATTGTTTGACTATTATTATAACCATTTTTAACCATTCAAATAACAAAAAGCTAATTTCTTTTCAATTTAGGAGGAGCTGAATGTGATCTGGCTAAACTTTTTAAAGATGCAGTTAAACAATATTATTCTGGTAAGTACATATTATTTTCTCTGAAATTTAATAATAGTTTATTTGCCTTTTTGGGTCAACGTTAACCGAACTACTAACCTGCGGCAGGTTTATAGATAACTTATATATTTTTAAAAATGAAAAGTCTGTATTATTGTCGATTTGTATATTTTATTAATACACTAAAATAGTGGTTTGTACTTTTGAAAAAAAAACTTGATTTTCATTTAATATAATCATTAATTTTAACATTTATAAAAAAAAAAAAATACTTCTTTCCATACAACTTTTATTGTCAATGAGTACAATTTATAATGAATCTTCTGTAAAATGTTCAAGCATTTTTGTTTATTTTAACAGTTTTATTCACAAAGTACCAACCAAATAAAAATTACGAACAAGTTGCAAAATTAAAATGTCTATGTGATAAAATTTCTGAAAATTGATAATTTTATCTGCCTCTACGAGTATTTTACACTACAATAGAATTACATAAAAAAAAATTTTAAATAGTAAAATAATTATTTTTGTGAATTGTCCTGTTTTTTCTATTTTGTATTTCGGATTTTTTCAATTATTAAAATAACTAAAAAAAAAAAAATTATGATTTGAGTAATATTTCTAGAAAACGCGCGTGAAAATTAAAATAATGAAATCGGTAACGCCGTAGCAAAATCTAAATATTTGCCATTTCATCTATACATTTTTTCAAAAATATTTATAATGAATTCCTGTTAAGTTTTTAATCACTACTGTTTAGTCTAATAATTTTATCCACAGAGTACCTAATAAATAAACCAAATAAAAATGATGTAAAAAATTCGCTAAATTAAAATGTCTATAAATAACTCAGAAATGACTCACAACATTTCAAGTACTACGAATATTTTGTATTGAATTATATTGAAAAAACAAAATTAAAAATAATAAAAGAATTATTTTAGTAAATTTTCCTTTTCCGTTCTTTCTACGTATTTTTAGGTTTTGCTCAATTATTAAAAAAATTACGGGACTTCATATGACCTTTATATATTAATGAATTTTAATTTTTTGTTTTTTTCACAATTACTATGGAAATTACTTTAAATATCAAAAAATTACCTATAATTTTTTTTTGTGTTTTTCAAAATATTTCGTAAACATCTTGGAAAATTAAAAAAATGATCCTTTTAATGCACCAACTATAGACAAAATTTCTTTTCAAAAAGTTGTTTTTAGACAGAAAAAGGAAATAAAAAAAACCCCATCACAGTTAACCTAGTAGATCCTTCGCTATGCTCCGAATATAATACTTTCAAGATAGTCGATTTATCCATGGGATAATACTTATTTGACGATGCAGCCTTATACCTAAATTCTTAATTTGCCTTATTGATGTTTCTGTCAATGTAAAAGTTCATCTATATACAATAAGAAACAATTTTAGCAGTCTAATTTTAGTATTAAGTGTGATTTTATGTCATTTAAATATATTAGACATTTTGCGTCTGGCCTTTTCAATTTTGCATTTGATTTTTATTGAGTGCTCCCAATCTCTATTAACCAACCTACCTTGATAGTTTTATTTTTGAATTTTTTAAAGTTAAAAAAAAAATATATATTAAGGTGGTCCTTGTAGGGGCATAATGAAAATGTATTTATCATTTATTTTGGTGCAGACAACGGGCGGGACAGCTAGTTTGCAAATATAACTTAATATTAATGGCGAATCTTATATATCTATTTATTCATTTTTCATTGATATTTATGCCATCGTCTATATATTTTAATGCTTTACGTAGTATTAAATATTGGGTATACATTAGACAAGAGTATTAGCAAGATTAGGGGTGGATTCAGATTACGAGGGGGGAGGGCATTTTATGAAATTTTATGAAAGGCAAACACTTATGATGGAAATTAAGCCCAGGGTATGTTGGCTCATATTTATGAGCCAACGGGGCTAAAATCGATCCCACCGACCCCCACCTGGATCCACTACTAGAGAAGATAAATTCTCGTCTCACTAATCGTTTAATTGGAATACTCTTCAACATTTTTTTCTCGACACGTATAACTAGTTGCTTGGTTTCAGTATAAATTACTTACTTTTCTCTAATTTTCTCTAATTGTTCATCAATTCTAATCATTTTCAATATTTCTAAAAGTTTATTGTGTTTAAAACGTTTTGGCAATCAATCGACTTTTTTGAGTTTCAAATATTTAAACAATTATTTTATGTGTGCCCTTAAAAAAAGCTTCAAAAGATGACTCATAAGACTAATAGTATGGAAATAGCAGCTATGTTTAGCATTGGATTTTTTGGGAATTACATTGATTAGCTTATCAAGCATATTGATTTTAACTATTCTAATAATACTATTAATTTAGTTTTCCCGAATAATATATTAAAAATAATAATAAAACACAATTAGTTATTTAAACAATTTATTATTATTTAAGTTAAAAAATTAATTAAAAGTTCACAAAATAATGTACAGTTTTAAAATTAGGTACACAAAATTTAAAATACTATAATATTATGTGTCATTGCTCGCAAGACATTCAAGCCGTTAAATGTGTTGTTGTCCTGTGAGTGACCTTAATCGCCGTTGAAAATCTCCAACCATTTTCTTTTCGGTTGATCTCTGACTTTCAGCTTTTATTTGATTTCTGTTATTATAATTTCCACTTAAACTTGTTTTTTATGAAATTCTCCAAGAGAAAAGTACAGGTCTGGTTGATGTTTTCCAAAAACCAACTGAAAAGGATTATGTCACCCCTCGCTCATAATGAAAGTCATTTAAAATATTGATCCAAATATCTGGTGTTAACCGTTCTTCCTCTTCCACGTCTTAATATTGTTATTTTAACCTCTGGGGTTTTACGTTCTGAATTTTTATCACTCCTGTGTAACCTGGTTGGGGGACCAATGTAACACAGCTCCCACGCGCCACATCGTCACTTAAACTCTACCCCAACTGCCCGTAACCCGGAACATTAGTCGGTTTAAGTTCAGCGGAAATAGTATTAGAAGTTAGGTACCGTACCGAGCTCATTGGTAGAGAAATCGTCCGGCAAGCAAGAGTTTCGGGTTTGTTAGGTCACCTTATTTTTAGCACATTATTGAGAACGGTCTTGCTAAATTTTACGAAATAGGTTGAATAGAGAGGGTTTTTTAAGCAATATGGATACATTTCTTCATTGAAATTATTCAACACTACTTTCCCGCCACCGAAAGTTAAAAGTAGAATACCTTATTGTTTTTTAAAAACTTATAGTAAATTTTGTGTTTATTTTTTATTCTATTAGGAGAAGGGCCACCGGCAACAGTTATCACAATAGAAGATTATGGTATAGTATTATTATGATTATGAACAAATTGAGATAATCGTATTTCTATGGTATTATCTAATATTTAGTAAAGTAAATAAATATATAAATAAAAAATGTATGCATATAAATAAAATAATTAAATTAATGAATGTGTCGCTTGGAGTATTATGATAAGTATATTATACACTTATAATATAACACTTATAAAAGGCGACGCATTCATTCATTTAATTTTATTTTTATATGTACATTTTTTATTTATATATTTATTTACTTTATTTATTTACGAGTATTAACCATTTTAATCATTTTGTTTTACTTTATTATTTCATTATTTAATATTTATTAATAAAAATAATATTATTGTTATTGTTTGATGACAGTTATGCAGAACACACGTTGCTTTATGGCACTATTACGTAATATACATTTGCAGCTGGAATCTTCCGAAAAATCTTCTCAAATAGGTAATGATATTACGTTATTCGAGTATCCAATAAAATATTTTCAGATAACAGGAATAGACATTCATTTCATTTAAAAATATGCCCGAAACGTTCATAAAAACGTCACGTTCACGTTCGTTGAAAAAATATAATTTTTCATTAGGTCATTTAGTGATAAAAAATGGTAACAATTTATCAAGTATCAGTCTTGTATTAGTGGTATAACTAGAGTTTGGACAGTTAATTTGAATACTATTCTCAACAACCATGAAAAGACTGTATTATTTTAAGTAGAAGGTCACGCTGGGTTTTTTAGATTATTGGAACATCAGCAGTGGAATATATAATAGGAAATTGTACGGAGTGTGTACAGAATTGTCACGGTTTTGGTCTCCAAAATTAGGGATCTGAGCTACGCTCGTTAGTTTTCCATAGAATATATCACCTGCTTAACTATCAAGGCTTGCATTTTTGATGTCTCATACCCCTCATAGAGCGCACTACCCTGAAACGAGTGACACTGAGCCTGTGGTTAAGAGCTTATCCTGGAATATACAGTCGTATAGGACAGCTGACAGGCTCATTAATTGGTAAACGTGGTGCATAGATCCTCGCCTGTGCATCAAAATGTTATTCAAACAACAGATAGGTACTTTCTTTGAACTTTCTCGAAATCCAAGACCTTGGATGATTGTTTGGTAGAGAACAAGAAAATTGAAATCAATAATTAACGTATTAGCTTATATTGAGAAAGAAGAATTATTAAACGGAAACAGTAAGTGCAAAAGTCTTGAGGTTTTTTTATTGTTGCATTATAAATGGCTGTTCATTAAATTAATATATTTCTCTGCGAAGATTAACCTCATCTAGATTTTTGACGGCGGCTGGCCTTAGCGCACGTAGCTATCTTCTCATTCTTCGTGCGCGTGCTGCAAGCTTTCTGATTGCTCGTATCAGTGATAGCGTGATAATCGGAAGATGTCCAGTCAGCGGTTCGATGGAGGGGACAATTTTTACGCGTTTATATGTTTCCGAGGTGTGCGTGAGTGGGTATGTGGCTACGACACACGTGCATGAGATTTTTTAAAACGTGGGAACAACTAGGATATATATGAAATTGGACCTAAATCGATTCAATTTAAAAGGTTGTCAAAAGATTGAAAATAATTAAAAATTGTTTAGGCTAATTGAAAATTTCTCGATATCTCGTAAAATCAATTTTTTTTTTAATAAGAATTTTATTAAACCTCCACTTTGGCGGATTAGAAACCAAACACCACCAACAAATTGAAAATCGAGTTTTCATATTTGCATAGCGTTTTAAGGAAGTTATATTGACTGAAAAAAAAAACCAAACAAATCGATTTTCAAGGAATTGTAGAATTTTAATTTAATTTGTTATTATTTGTAATTATTGTTTGACACTACTTTCCATCTAATACCTTGAGATAGGGCGGGTAATTTTATGTACATGTAATTATGTTTCATTTATTTGGGGGAGGGGGAGAATGAATGAATAATCATACACATAAAAACATATACTACATAACTTTATTAACATTAACATTATAATAAAAACCGAACACTTATTGATAAATTGATTCATACTTGATATTCTGTGTCTATCACCTGGATTACATTATGTGTAGGACGTAGCTTATTTAGGTCAATAAGTAGATATTTATGTTATGAACAAGTCTAATTATTTTGGGGGAATTATGAGCTCACATTTTGTTTGAATTTGGAATACGCAATAGGTAAAATTAAAACACCGGTCCTATATTCTTATTTATTTTTAGCATACATTTTATTGAATTTACAAACAAATGTTTTTCTAAAACATTTAACTAAAAACTGAACTTTCAAAACATATTATTATTTCGTGTTGATATTATTATTTTATTAAGTATTTCATTGACACATATTTACTCAATTATTAGAGTAATTATAAATGTTTCGAATTTCAGATTTTCAAGAATACGATCACTATTTTACTACAATCATTCATTTGTTGAATTGTAAGTATCACTTTTTATTATTATTATACTTTTTTTAGATTCTGAGCGTAGTGATAAAATATGAAATTATGAAAAAATAATGCTGGACTATGTATTTTCATTGAAAATTGTCAAAACTAATTTGTTGTACCATTTTTCAAAGTTACTAGAACCTTAAAATATAAAAATCTAATTTTATCGTATTTTTACATGTACATAATGTATTTATCTGGAAACTTGTGGTGTTTGATAAAAACAATTTTAAAAAATACTAAAAAAGTTTTTGGTCTGAATTTGCAGGACCTTTTACTTGAGATTGGAAACCTGTAATATGGTTCCATTCAATCGTAATGGGGCATTAATTTCCCAGCACTACATTTTTTTTTATGTATAGAGATTTCGATTTTGTTTAATAATTTTCAACAAACTTCTAATAATGCTCTATAAATCTATATGGGAATTGTGAATGAGTTTTTTTTTAATATTATAATATTACATCCAAGTGTCATGTTGATCAAGTACTTGGTACTAAAAATGTTAATGTTGAATTACTTTGTTTATTTTTTCCAATAAATTCAAACAACTTTTCAATAATTTAGAGTAATGATTGTTGGAGAGTTATTTTTGAAATTCTATGAAATTTGTGGTCTCAGTTTCACGTATCTCTAGTTTTCAATGCATCCGGCATTTTCGTTATTTGATCGTCACTTATGGATTTTCGTACGAAACTTAATAGTATAATTTTTACTTTTTGCATGACACATGACATATGCATTAATTGTTCGTATTTTGGTAACCACAGCTACTATTATTTTTATGTAAAAAGAATAATTAATATATATTCACACAATTTATAATTATACAATATTTATTATTTATTATTATAATTAAGAATATATAATTCAATGCACATTTCACGAATTAATGATTTTAATAACGCTTCAAACCCCTTTTATTTACTTATTAAAAAGAGCTATAAATATAGTTCTCTACTAAAAAAAACCAACCGAACATAAATAATAAGTATGTTTTATGAATGTATAAAATTATATTTAAAATATAGATACTACGTCACCCCGCTATTGTTTCCTATTTTCACTATTTATAGTATCACCAATTCCTACTTTGCTGAGTAACTACTCACTAAGGGCTATTTAAAAAAAAAAATACAATTTTCGGTTAGTCCTAAATTTAGTAGAGTGCAAAGGAAAATTTGGCAAGAAAAATCAGTTTAATTTGTTTGTTTCATTTTTTTTTTTTTTTTAGACAAATTTTGTCTGGATATCACGTAAAACGTGTTTTAGTATTAATTTTCGTGTTGAGAGAATTTCCTAAAAAATTAGGGTCAGCGAGTTATTTTGCCATTGATATTTGAAATCTTAATTACATTATTAATTAACTAGAGTAATTCTAATCTGATTGGAAAGGTGTATACATACTACTATAACTATACAGAATATTGTACACATTCTATTGTGTTGTTCTATTTAAACATTGAAAACAACGAACAAATATGATTTAATGATTGGTTTTTTGTTTTTAGTTATTTACTACTTTAAGAAAATTAGATATAATTTATGGAAAATTCAGCCGATTTAAATTACCTACTTCCGAGGTATCGATAAAAATTTCGAACATTTTAGAAAAAAAATATGAATAATAATAATAAAAAATGTTATTATAAAATTAATATCTTTCTGGTTATTCTTAACATCTAAAAATATAATCACTATTTATTAGATTTTAATATTATTATATAATATTTTTATAGACGATATTTTTAAATATTTTCACGACGATATCATGACCATTTACGCAGAAATGCAGAGAGGTAATATTTCAGATTCACAAATATTATTCTTTATGTAAACTATTTAATATTAAATCTTATATAGTCACTAAAAATATGTTTACATCAGAAATATGTGCGTGCAATGTACTGCCAAATCTACGGCTTGTAAATATATGCAATATTAATCATATGTGGGCAGATGAGAGTTCGATAAAACCTCCTTAATTAATAATCCTCTCAACTGTTTTTTTCTCTTAGAAATTCAACACTCATAACACAAACATTTTATTTACTAGGAAAAAAAAAATTAGAAGTCAAATAAGTCTTGTCAAGTCAAATAAGAAGTCTTTTTTCAACTAAATTAAAGCTTAAACAATTTATTGTCTTACGGATATATATTTATGCGTTCAAAATCTGCCCAGAGTAAACTATATTTTTTTTTTTTATAATTACGGCTAAATATGTAATATATTTCAAGAATTTAAAATATATTTTACTTTATCAAAGGAAAATTAATTAATTTGTGTACATTATTTTACTAATAAATAATAATCAAATTATTATGGTTATAATTACTTAATATCCAATATTCATTTTTACGTAATTTGTATTCTTGAATCTAATTAATATTTTGTTATTTAATTTTTTTGAAAATTATTTAATCTATATAAACTCTGAAGACAAACCAACTTTGGATATTCCATTAATACAAGCAAAAGTTTCTGGATTGATAGAAAAAGGAACCAATCTTAATATGTGGTATTTGGAAACAGGTAATTTTTAACAATATATTTTAAACACTTAACAATTCCTTACAAATATATTATAACTTGGGAGTTGGTTTTTTCCATTTTTTTTTTTTTAAAATAAACTAAATCCCGAATACAAAAAAATTGTTCTAAATCATAATACAAGTAGCCGTATAAATTAAACCTCAAATTTCGAAAATAAATCATTTGCCTTTAATTCATTAGGTAACTGGATGTTCTAAAAATTAACTGTACAAATTTAAGTTTATCTAATGAAAACTTAAACAAGTTAATTAGTTAATGCCTATCTTTGTATTTTATAATAAATATTAATAATTTAATATAATGGAATCATTTTGTATTGTATTATACTTATCTAAAATCAATTTTTGTTTTAGAAATATCATAATTCCCACAATAAATTGAATTATTTTAATATTGGATAGTTACCATATAAAATAAAATACGAATTAAAATTTCTTTTAAATGTTTTTCTATGAAGGGTATATACACGTACGACCAGAAGATAAAATTGTTGTGAATTATAAATCAAACAATAACTTTTTCGATGAATGTAGCACGATGTATAATAAATGTAAGTATGCCATTAAGTTTTAGAATTATTGGAATTTCAAAATTGTACCTGTTCTATTGTTATATATGGAAATCGGTTTTCTAACAGTCATTTTAATAGTTTTTTTTTTCAGTTAAAAATATGAATGAAGCATTCAATAAAACTCTCAAAAAAGCATTTAAGACAGTAGATTTTAGATTTAATCTGATAAAGTCAATGCCATTTTTGATGTCTGATAGTAAGGGAATTATTTGAAGAAATACTAATAATTTTAAAATTAATGAAGTGGTTTTTGTTGAATTTTAGGTGTTCAAAATTTGTATGGTAAGTAGCAAACTTGGTGAAATAAATAAATGCCAATAAACCCAATATATCCAACTACATCCAGCGTGTAGTTTTCGTGTTTTATTAGGTATTTTTTTTTAGTATTCTATATGGATGTTTTAATGTTTAATATTAGCCCTTAACTGGTTTCGCCAGGTCAAAAAGACCCATAACTTTTTTTCATATATATTATATATGATAAAAAAAAATTGTGTCATTAGATGGAATATATTCATTTGAGTACATGGAATATATTCATTTGAGTACATAGAATATAATATGAAAAAAAAAAAAAAATTATTGTTATAAGTCTGAAAGTTATTTTTGACCCGACAATAGCGGTTACGTGAATACAAATAAGAATACCAGTTAAGGGTAAGATTTAACCATCCTTATTACGCAAAATACATAAATTATTATTAATAATAAAGGTACCTAATATCCATAACGATAATAAAAAAATATATATAATACAATGATGAAATAAAAGATTTCTAGACGAAATTTAATTACGTATTGTAATTCTAAAATTAAGTTTTATACTATTTATATCGAACTAATACAGAAATATATTTAAATAATATTTTGTTGTATAGGTATATTGTAGTGGACAACTGTAAAAATATAATTTTGGTTTGTACCTATTGGGTGACCTTTCGGTTAATATGTGTTCAGTCAAATCTTTCGGTTAATTGCGGTCAATTGTTGTTATTTTTCGATTGGTATTCAGACAATTTTTTGTACATTTTAGTCAGTTTCAGTTTGATTAATAAGGTTTTTGGTTTGGGAGGTGTACAAACAAAAATATAGTTAAAACCTGTGAAAATTATATAACAATCGCTAACATAGGTTTTGGGTCGAATTTCCGATATAAGGCCACAAGCGTAGAGGAGCTGCTGATGCATTAAACAAATTTACAGTTCACTTTGTCACTTTTATCTGGATAATATTATATTAATTAGCAAATACTACAGAAGCTAATCCCGGACAATTATGATAGTCATGATACTGAAGATAATAGTAAAATATAATAGAGTAATATAGAGTATTAGGTATAATAAAATATAATAGGAAATAGGTACTGACGAGGTGAATCAGAGTGAATTTTGGTATGATTTCCAGATTTGGTGAGTCTGAGAGAGATCGAAATCGGGATCGTAAAGTAATTCGTGTCATTCTGTATTCCTAACTCTTTTCAACGTTTTTTCCACACCTCTAAAGTCGAGTTTCCATTACACCGTGCACCGTATCCCCAACATAAACGGTTTGGTTGACACCAGGTACTACTTGGTTCAGCCAATCAGAATACGTAGATTAATGCACGGGATTTGGAGCACGGTGTAATGAAAACTTGGCTTAACACCAACAGAAATTGTCGGAGTTTCTAAAGATGCTATTTGGAATGCCTCAATTTTCATATTCTTTGTAGATGTATTATGATGTTTTTATGCAACGGTAGATTTGGATTACTTTTTAACTTTTTCAATATTTATTCTGGTATATCAATTTAGTCTCGTAGAATTATGTGTGCTTCTACACATTGTAGAACAAAACTAATGTAGACGTTCCTTAAACCATTATGTTGATACCCCAGTTTGTTTCTGTTTTAGTATTATTCCGTATCTTCAACTTGTTTTTCATTACTTCTAAGTGCTTTTTAAGTGCTAAAGCTTTTTATCCTAAGGCTGGCAGCTGGTAACTGGCTCGAAAGTACTTACTACTCACAAATTCCAGACTAAGACTCGTCAAAATTAAGGTGATGTGGCAGCCACGTCCTTTATGTAAGAAACTGGCTAAACTGTTAGCTAAAATATAGCCATAACAATAAATATACTAATTAATAATAATATTATATTAATATTATTATATTATATTAATATAATATTAATATTATTATATATTAATAATAATAATAATAATATAAATATTATAAATATAATTTAAAAATGTGGTATTATTTATAGTTGCATATTTTTCTTAATAATTACGAATTTTATTACACATTTTAAAATTATATTACTTGATTAGTTAGACAAAATATTAAAATATTCTTTTGCATAATATTTGTTAGATGACACACAAATGGTCAAAAAAGACATGGAAGCGGAAATACGTAAGTAAAATATATTATTAACCCTTAATCCTTTGACTAAAATAATTTGTATTATTTAAACATTCAACCTTTTATTTCGGGCCTTAATTTTATATTTCAGACAAATTTTTTTTAACTTTAATATTGATTTATTTTGGGGTATACATATTTTGTAAACATTATTATTTTAAATATAAGTGTATACTATATATTATACTAGCTTTCCCGCCTGGTCTTTCCTGTGACACTATTGAACAAAAAAAAAAAAAAAAATGGAAAATGGGTAGTTTGGATTTGACAGATTAAAAGTGTAATCTACTTAATCCATAAATCAATAAAAATAATTTGATTTTCGTACCAAAAATACCTAAGCACTGATTGTTGAGGGGTTGTTTTCAATAGGTAGTGGATTTTAATAGTTATAAATCTTCTCGGAATAACGCAGATCATTTTGCAAAAAACTACGTAACAATAGGTCCATTAATCGAGAAAGAATGAATCCAACCGAATATAAGTTTATTGAAATGGAATAAACAGGAATTAACTTTGTTGACAATTATTTACAGGTATTTTTAATGTGTTCATCATAACGCTTGGTTGTGAACAACATTTTTTGTCTTTTTGTCCTGAAAAAAATTAATACTACTGATGTTATACCGTGTCCTGATCACGCCACGTACAACTGACCATGGCAAAAACATGGCAATTCAATGTTAATTTCAACACTTCAAATAATTGGCCTTGAAATTTATTAATTTTTATTGTGAATACAAGGCGAAGTAGAAACTGGACACGCTTAAATTGAAGTGGCAAGTTGGTTGGAATCAGTTGTATTCTTGAAATCAGAACATTCTCGCATTTGAACTTTCCGATGGTCATCGTTACTTCAATCATGTTGTTTATTATCTTCTTAAAAGCTAGTCTTATTCCATTGCATAGTTTCGATTAGTTCAGGCTACGTAACATGATTATCACCTCGCCGACCTTAATCTGTAAATTGTGTGGCGGCATTCTTAGCTAATCCAACGAATTCAGGAATTTATTTAAATAGTTGTTGAATTTATTTGGAATGGTAATGGAATCAATAGATTTAAATTAATGCAATTGGCTAACGTTTTGTTTACGAATTTTCAAATTGAAATCTTCTACGTCTTTATTTTTCGGTGTCAAAATGACTAGGTCATTCAACCAAACATAGTTTTTGTAATTTGAGCTAATATTTAGGAACCTTTTCGTGATAAATTCTTTTTTCGATGTTGTACATTGAAAAAAAAATGATGGAAACGAAATGAGACCAGTTGAATTTTCAACTGGAATTTTTCCATTGCCAGTGTTTAATAATTGCTTGGAAAACAATTCCGCCAATTCTTCATTTTGTAACGCAACTCGAATAATCCTAGTTAATTTGAGAGTTTTCACATATCTCCACAAATTCGATGACTGGTCTCTAAAAATATTTTTAACTGAAATACAACAATAAAACAAAATTGAAAATTAATAAAAGCATCATGTTCGTAAATTATCCTGTTTTTCGGTTTCCCTATGTTTTTTTCGCGATTTTTCTATTTAGTTTGAATAACGATTATACAAAACTACCTCTTTATAGAACCAAGTAGATAAAATTACCTTTAAGAAGAAAATGCTACATTTGATAGATCAGAGCAAGTTCTCTGGTAAAAAAGTTGTCTACAGAAAAATAAATAAACATCTTAATCAACATCAACATTAATTAAAACGTGATGAAAAAACCGAACTTAACGTCTTTTTATTGAGATTTTCATATAAAAATATCATTTAAGTTTTTAAATTTTTTTAAACATTTTTTTTCAAACATTGTCTTTCATACAAACCTTGTCCTGATAATTATGCACAAAAAAAAATTCAAATCGGCCAAAATTTTTATACTATTTTTAGGTTCATTTAAAAAACTGAATAAATTTGAATAATAATGAATTATAATTGTATAGCTGTTGCTCCCGATTTTGCTCGCATTTTCTTTCTTTTAGATTTGGAGCGTAGCAAGTGATCTACTAATTTTTCTATGATGCGTGATTTTTTTCTTGTTTTTATTTAATTTTTTTTTCTACCTATTTTTCAATGAAAAATATTGTTTTTATATATATAGTCCTTTTCTGAAAAGTAATTTTAAATATTTGCTGGATGGTGTAGATAATTTTTTTGATTTTCTAAGTGGTTTTCAAAATAATTGGGAAAAACCCTAAAGAAAATTATAGGTAAAACGGCACGTTGTGGCGTTATCGATTTCATTATTTTTAATTTTTGCGAAAACTATGATTTCTACCAAACATTTTTTTCCAATCACAAACTGACGGGAGATCGATTTAATTCCATTAAATATCGTGTTATTGACAGAGAAAGTCATTTGTTTATTTAAAGTAGTTTTCATATTAATTAGGAAAATCCAAAAAAGATGAAAAATATGATTTTTTTTCAAATAACGATGCAATGATTTGATTATTTAAAATGTTTAAGATTATGTTTTTACACCAGTAATTTTTGTCCAAATTGCAAGAATAGTATATTTTCTAATATAATATTTTGTCTAGTTTATGAATAAAAAAATCATTGTTTTATTTTCCGTACAGTTTTCCTAATAATCACGAAAAACCGGTAAAAACGTCGGAAATACGGCAAAGTGTACAACACTTGTTTTTTTTTTTTGTTATTCTGATAAAAATAACTGTAGAAATTTATATTTTTTACAAAATACTTAAATTGGCCTTTTTTAGACGTGGTAAAATTATCATTTAGACATTCTCGCTATTTTTAGGTTATTTATTAGTATTTGATATTTTTATGGTTTTATAAGTATTTTTATTTGGTAGGTATCTGTTATTAAAATTATATGACTTAAGAGAAACGTTTGAAAACTTAACACAGATTATATTATAAATTGTACTTGGTGATTACATAACATATTTTTAATGTTTAATGCATAAGTTTTTTTTTTTCGTAAGTATTTTAAGATCAAATTTTGTTAAAAACCGTGAAAATTAAAGTTCAAAATATGTTTTACCGAACTATTCTCTTCAAATCATTTTTCATTAGCAATGGTTTATCGCTTCCTACAGACGTAAATTAAGTAATTCAATGTATCTTATCTTCCTAACTGTCCAACTACAACAGTGGCTAAAACATCTACAATAGCAACCGTTCCCAATATTAGCTCTTTTTTTTTTTAATAACGTGCCACCCATTATTAAATCCGGAAATTGAGATTAAAATGACTTAGGTTGTTATTTTCAGGGAATTATGATTATTTATTTTTCTTTATTTATTATTATTTATATTAGTTATTCTAGCTATCCCATTAAGCGTTTTTTGTAACAACTTTATCTAACCAACTAGAAATTAGCAAAATAAATCGTATTTCCTGTATTTTAAAGAATTATGTTTTAATTTTATTTTTTGCAGTAATAAATGAAATTCTAAATCTCATAATTAAATTTTATGGAAGATTCATAGTTAGAATGATTACGGATGCAGAAATATTATTAGTTAGTGAGTGTTATTATTGTTATTTTTTGTATTATTATGTGTTTAAGGATAAAAATAAATGTTTGTTTCTACTATCATAACGATGATTAATGACATATATACATATTATAAAATATTAAAAAGTTCATAATATTTACCGGTTTAGATAATAAGATTGTTTAATACTTGTTTTACATTGTTATTATTACCATTATTACAAATACTATAGATTGCTCACTTACCAGTTTTTTGATATAGCATACAATAAAATTCCTGTTGGAAAATGTTCGAAAAATAATAAGAACCGTTTTCGGAAACCTGGCCCGGTTGCATATTAACATGAACTGTACTGTAGGTACATAATAGGTACACACTATGTAAAATATTACCCGACGTGGTTTTGCACAACAAATTGGGGTTTATTTTCTATTAATTATGTACCTCCATTCGCTTTTTCTGGAGCCAAAAGTTCCAGACCATGCTATATTACAATTAACTACAGTTGTATTTAATATTTTAATATTTAACCTTATCATTTTAAACAAATTGCCTTTTACCCTTTACAAAGGTTGGGTAAAACGGTTTAACATCAAATCCTTGCTACGATTACCTGCTAATTCATTACAGTTAAATATAGTTATTTTAACTTATTTCATTTAAGTTTTGTATTGTTTTGTGATAAGACTGATAACAGTACGTTCTACACACGTTGAAGTCAAACGTCTTTAATCGTGACGATAGATGTTGGCCACACATTTAATTGTTTAATTATTCATAGTTTTATCCATCGTATGTGATCTAAATTCTAAGGTATCCATTACATTTAGGTCCGGGTTTTTTTTTTATAACTTTAACTTAAAAAGATTAAAAGATGAAACTGTCAATTATTATTACGAACATAGATAATAAAGACTGGATATGTCATATGTCTGGGTGACGCATTCTAAAATGTGACTGTCGTCTATCCTTTAATACTTAGGCGATTTGTTTACATTTTGCTGTGGCACCGCAATATCGTTGAATCCCAGTCTTTTCCACGATTATTTTTATTCACTTATGTTATATTATAATTACTATCATTTTTTAAGTATATATTGTCCATAGTTATTATACACGAATAGTAAATAAATAAAGGAGAACGCATGAATAAATGTATAGACAAAATTTAAATTTGTTGTTATTTACTTTATCAATTTATCATGGTTATCACGTTGTCGTATCATATAAAATAACGTAAAAAAATCGCCTAAGTCCACCATACCAGAGAACAAAAAAGTGTACAGGTATAGTGTAGGGATGGCCTATCCAGTCTTTATTACTTATCTATGGTTATGAAAATCTTAAATAATTTACACTTCACAATATGACCAGTTTTTCTTCACAAAATAATCATATTTTTAATAAGTGATAATAATTGTACACTAATTACCTAATTAACTTAAATCTCGATAATAAATAACAAATGAAACATATTACATTATATATTCTATCCTCCTATTCTAATTTTAGGATGCATATTGTTTTATTGCTATGTTGATGACTTGCAATGTAAACGTTCACTTACAAAATAGACACAAACATTTATTATTTATATGTTTGTAAATGAATATAAATACAATTATATTTTAATGAATATTTCAATGTTTTACAGATGCGTATATTGAAGATAAAGCAACGAAAAATTTTTGGTTTTTAGAAAATAACGTATACCTTAAGGATCATATAATTATAACGAGGGATATAGTTAATCGTATGGATATGATTAAGGCGAAATATTCTTATTTGATTGACTTTTATAAAGGTAAGTTTATTTGTGATTTTGTTCGTAAAATTCGTAAATTTACTTATACAACATTATTGAGAAATTATATATAGTTGACGGTGAATGTGTTATTGAATGAATTATTTTTGTATGAATTACCTATATTAGTAGACAGTAGGAAATTTGAGTGTTCATCTCGGAGGGAGGAGCGATATATTATAAACACATGTACATAAATTTGTGTTTGAATATTACTAAATACAAAGAGATGGTTAATGTAATAGTAGAACTATATAATGCGTATTATGGTCTAATAGTGTGATTTGGTGTATTTTTAAAAGTTTCATAAAAATTTGAACTTCAAACGAATTAAAAAAAAAAAACGAAACTATGCTCACTTTTTATTACGTCATACAGTACATCTTATCATAAATCTTGTATCAAATTTACAATAATTTTTAAGAAGTTAAAAAATTGTTTTCATAAAAAATCAAAAACACTAAAAATACTCGAAATATTACCTATAAATTATAGTACCAGAATATTTTCGAAATTGTACCTCGTCTAAAGAGTAATGCCTTCGTAAGAAATTTTAGGTTATTAGAAATACATTTAATTTAATTGCAATAAAAACTAAAATCGATTGTAATTATAGAAACTGTTGTTCCGTAAATATTTCCGGTTCTCAAAGTCTGGTTTTCTCCTCATTATTAGAAAAATTAACAAAGACATTCAAAAAAAGGCTTAGTATAATGATATCTGTAAATGATATCTTGTGATATCAAACCCAAGTCGGTTTACGTGATCATATTACAGTAGGTTTTATAAACTTTCGTGATCTCATACGATAAGATAAACTAATGATTCTTGGGATGTTCATCAATTATGATTTAAGATGTGCACTCCAGGTATGTAGCAGTTATTTACGTAGTTTTATGAGGAATCTTTCATGCCAGATATAAATAAAAGCTTAAACTTCCAAGCTACGCCATGGAAGACACCATAGCAATACTTTTTTCTTCAAAAGTTTTATTCATTACGTTTGTAACGCGATGGACTTAACTGATTGTCGAATGTTTGTTATGGAATCCAAACTACTGTTTTGGTTTAAGATTTTTTTTTCTTCTATTATTGGTTTTAGACGTTTAAGTAGACGTCTCTAAAAGTCTAGAAGGATGATATTGAAATTTTTAATTTTGTCATAAAGCTATTGGCATTACGCAATGCTAAGATCGGAGTCAATGGCATTTAGTAGACGTACACATTCTAGGAACCGAACATATATTTCATCTTTTTCTAATTCACCCTGAGCCCAATTACCATCTTCCTTGCGTGTGAGTAGTCTCACAAGGTTTCTTTATGTGTTTTTCGGCTTTCCATAATAAATTAATAATCAGTATTATCTATTACAGAAAAATTATAAAAATATGATTTAAACTTTTTATTTTAGATTCTGAGTGTAGCGAAGAATGTATTGATTTTACTAAGATGTTCATTTTTCTTTTTTTCTTTTTTTACTGTATACGAAAATTCTACCAGAAATCTTGCTCAAATATATATGCGCGGTACCATTTCTGAAAGGAAATGTTGTCCAGATGGTACTCTTAGAAGGTCATTTTTTGATTTTCCAAGCAGTTTTCATAATATCTGAAAAAAATCAGGATAAAACGTAAGAAAAACGGGATATTTACGAAATTAATGCTTTTATTATTTTTTAATTTTGTCATTTATTGTAATTCAAATACAAATCTGCATAGAGACTTATAATGTTGACAGAAAACTTATATTTGTTTTTTCTAGACACATTAAAATTTTTGAATTTTGCAATTTTTAGAATTATATATAAATTTTAATATTTTCGAATTAAGTTTGAAATATTTTTATCGACTCTAAAGACCTATTGGGACAGAACATTTTTATTTGCCTTTACTAGACGTGATAAAATTGTCACACAATTTAAGCTATTTTTTTTAGCTATTCATAGAAATTTTAATTTTGCGAGTTTTGTACGTAATTTTTATTCGGAAGGTACTCAATGATAAAATTGTTAAACACAGAAATACGTGAAAATTTAACAGAGAGTTCATTAAGTCTTATGTTGTGGTTAAAAAAAAAAAATTGAGTTCAATGTAATTTTTTTTTATAATGAAATTTCAATATCAAATTTTGACGAATGTCATTTGAGAAAAAAATTATGTGGAACTGATTTTATTTTTAATTTTTAATTTTTTGAATCATATTGCTGATGTAAAAACGATGATAAAGTCAGAATTAACCGGAACGACTAAGTTTCAAAATTATAGCTTTTTGAAATTCTGATATTATATGTTGTGTTAAATAACTGAATATTGTCTTAAAGCACATTTGTCGTGATCTAATGGTTATATATGCCTATTATCATCCTAGAGGTTCTGAGTGCAAACTAGTGTGACGAAAAAAATTGTTTGAATTTTATCCCTTTTACTTAAACAAGAAAAAAACAAATGCATTTCGGGTGTACCTCTCTAGGTCTCTACCCAAGCCATCGCTCGCTCGGACTTTTTTAATCGCAAAATACCCAAAATATGCAAAATTTTATACTAGAAATCTTGCTCCTGAGTATCAAGTGTAGCTTATTTTTTGAAAGGAAATTTTATCTCCATGGTAATTTAAAGAGGTTATTTTTTGATTTTTCAATTAGTTTTCATAATATATGGGAAAAATCAGGATAAAATATCTGAAAAACCGAAAATGTACGAAATGTAGGTATTAGTAAAAAAATATTATGATTTTTTTTCTACCAACAATTTTGCTCCGATTTACAATGATAGCACCTTTTCTTAAAGTAAATTCTGACTGGGGAGGTACTTTAGGAGGTGATTTTTCGATTATCCCAATAAATGGGAAAATTGGGAAAAACATGAGAAAATCGGTACAATATTAAACAAATATTATTAAAGAAAATATATAATGTCAATTTAATTATTTTACTGTAGTATGTACATATATATTGTTGACAAAGCATCACTATTAACTGAACTGCCCTCAGAACCGTTCTTTCATTAACAATGGTTTATTGTTGCTTACAGATATACATTAAATTACATATAACAGTGACTGCAATCGTTTCCATTATCCTAGAACGTTGTTTTCATTTCTTTGATGTTGTTATGGAACAATTTGCTTACACAATTCTATTAGGTTTTATCCATTGGATGCTATGTTCTCGTTTGATGTTTTTGTTGAACTAGATTTCTTATATCTAGTGGGTAGGTAATCTGGGGTTTATCATTGGAAGCTAATGGAGTAGTTAATTTCGCCACATTAATGATATCGTTGACCGTTTGTTTTACTGAATTTCCAATTTCATCCATTGTTCTTAATCGAGTTAAAAGTATTGATTTCTTCAAGGGAACTTTTGAATAGGTTCCAATTTATTCTTTTGTTGATTGTTGAAGTGTTTTATTTTGTTAACTATTACGTTAGTGCTTATTGATAGATGCTTGGGGATGTGATTTGACATAAGTTTTATTAATCTTTAACTTAATTATCAATTTTTTTTTTAAAAACGTTGATTGTTATAAAGTACTACTTTTATAAACGTTTAAAGTTTAAATTTTTGACGAATATCTTAAAGGGCACAGCATTTCAAAACACGTTAAACTGAACTAATCGATATAAAATTAAAATATCAATAACAGATATAAATTGAATAACTTATTGTATCTTACTTTTAAAACATTCAACTAATCAGTAGTACTCCCGTCAACAATATCAGCTGCTTTTTAAACTGAATTACAATAAAAACATAATATCGAATAAAACATAAATGGTTATTTACTAAATATCCTCGTTTTCCCAGATTTTCTAATTGTCAAGCAATATATGGGAAATATGAAAAAAATTGTCCACTAGAATTCACCATTGATGTTTATAATTTAAAATTAATAAAAAATTATACACAAAAATCATACATAAGGTTGCCTAACATAGAAGGATCATCTACGTCGTATACAGGATGCTCTAGCTACCGTAATGCACACTACACAGCCATCTACTATATGCAGCTTCGGTATGGGCACCGTTTCTAAAGATTTCTAAGTTTTTCCTATGTTTTTCTCAATTATAATGAAAACACTTTAAATCAAAAAATCACCTCTCTGAAAAACCTTACGGATAAAATTTCCTTTCAGTAAATGCTTTATACTTGAAAATCGGAGCAAGATTTTTGGTAGAAAATTAATTTACAGATTGTAAAGCCAACAAAGCTCAGGATCTAAAAGGGGGAAAAAAGTCCGTACTGCATATTTTATTACGTTTACAATATAACTTTACACACTTTACCTATCCCTTGTGTGCCCAATTTTAGAGTATAGTAGAATAGTTTGGCACCCCATTTGGTGAAAGAACAGTTATGACTAGAGAGAGTCCAGAATAGGTTTCTTTCATATTTCTCTTTCCTACTTAAAATTGAACTTCTATAACATGACTGCTCATCCGTACTTTTAAAGCTAAACATCTTCATGCTTTCTTTCCGATGAATTAATGCTGATTTCCATTTTATTCAAGGTCTACTTGATGATTCAATAGATGTCCCAGACCTCTTTTTCTTTATTAATTTCTGTGTTCCTGCCTACCCCTCAATACATCATATACTCATTCATATTCCTACTCACTCTATCTCCTACGATCACACAACTATCCTTTACACCACATGCTTCGTTGTATCAAGAAGGCCACCTAGTTTATTCTGTAAATATTTGGTTTTATATTGTTTGTTTGTATACTACTTTATTTTTCTTTTGCGTTTTGCATGTAATTATCTTAGTTTGAAGTCTGTTAACAATTTGTTTGTACTGTTATCATTTCACCTCAATTTATATGTTTTCATTTATTTTTTGTAAATTGCCGTTTGGCGTTAATAAAATAAAATAAAATAAATATAAATATTTTTGTATCTATACAGTTATATATATAGAACAAAATAAGGAATTCGAAAAAAACTATAAAGACGCAAAAAACAAATTTGGAGAAACATTTTTCAATGTTTTAGAAGGAAAAGGTAACAATGTTTGATAATTTATGATTTGTAATATATATTATAATACTTACTCTATGTTTTTTTTTGTATTAACAGATATACAAAATGAAAGTTCTTACTCAAGTAAATGTATACTTGTATACTTATATTTAATATTATGTTCAATATATACTTATTAAAGTATTTATTGTACTATGTATTTTATAACATTTTCTATGTAACGTTTAGTGTTACAACTAGTGATGGACACAACCGAAGTGACTATTGAGCTATTTAATAGATTAAAGACAATTGAATATGAAATGCATTGCGTTGAAATTATCTAAAATAGATTATTCGATTGTAGAAAGATCTTTTAGAACAGTGAAATTTCTTATATGAGAATCTGCATTTCACAATTTCATGCACCACCATAACCAGTTGTATACAGTTGCCAAATAAACCTTCATTTTGTACCCGAGCTGTTAGGATTATATGGTAGCGTTCATGGTACACTGGATTCGTTTGCAAGTAAAACGAAAATTGAGGAGTTACTCGACGGTTATACACAGGGGATCATGAGATACAGTATAAATTTTAACCCAAAACTTTTTATTCTGTTCTATTTTTTGCTATTAATTTATTTATTCCGAAAAAGGCATTTTTCCTCTAAATTTCCTATCTGGTATTCCAGGGATATAAACCTTTACTTAAATTTAAAAATATCCTTCACGGTTTTTTAAAATATCTAAATCTAATATTAATTATTTACATTTTTTCGACTATTCGATCACAGTGTAAAAATCGTAACAAATAAGATTATTCTTGCTATTTTCGTAACATCTAACATTCCCTTAAATCAAAACATTAACAATTTTGAAACTTTATGAGGAATTCAAAATGTTCTACTGATCTCCCGAATTCATTATTCCTTCATAATAAATAGCTGATGATGGACAAAGAATAGTACATTCAGTCATTATTTTGCCTCTCCATACGAGTAAAAGTAAATATTCAATAGTTTTCCCGAATAAAACAGTTTAGTTATAGAAACATTCGATAGTTCATCCAGTAAATTATCTTAACTATTCAGAAGTTGCCATCATTTGTTACAACTGTTACAAAGTCCAGACACAATAATAATTTTCAAAATATTCAGATATATTATGCATATAGACATATTGGTCAAAACACATGTTTTTGAAACTAACTGTTAATGTGAAAAAGCATCAAATGTTTTTATTCGAGGGCCGATGGCCCCATCTCAAGTATAGGTTTTAAAGTTTTCTAGCATTTATCACTCTTTCTATAATATTTTTTAATCCGCATAGACTAACAAATTTTAGGTATTATAATATTTTAATAATTATTTTTCTTCACAATTTGAGTTGAATTTTAAGCACATATTATTATAATTATTACAGTTTCGTAGTAATCTAATACAAATAAATATAAAACGCGTAGTCACGTTTGATAAATAAAATACACTATAGTCATCGATATAGCACAGTAAATAGGCTATTATAATAATTTACATTACATAATTTTATTATATGGTCATTCAAAAATTTACAAAACTAATTCATGTATAGCGTACTATTTATAACAGCAACATACTATTTTCTTTTGTGCAATGTAAAACATATGCAAAATGCAATATACATTTTACAAACCAAATATATACATAATTTAATATTTTATATTTATTACAGTGAATAATGTGGGCGAATATTCAGATATGATTGGCTGTAAGTACTCTTTTGAGTTTAATAATATTATAGCATTTATAACTAATATAATTTGAGTTAAAATTATTTTGTAATGCATTTGGATATGAGGTGTATTCAATAAATAAACCTAGATTAAAATTTGAACATTCAAACTGTTTATACTATCTCTGTATTAGTAATATTATTACACTAAGATAAACTAGAGATGATTTGCAATATTAATTACAGAATTTAAGTTATTATATCAAACCAATATTATTAACAGTATGTCTTCAAATCATTCAAATAGAATACCACGACTCAACGATTATTACGAAACAGTGTTTTAAAACGGGTTAAATGCTACGGAGAATTTTAATTTGATAAAGTTATCTTTTGAAGATGTAACTTTGGTGCGGTTCAAACGTTTCAAATAAAAGAATGTCAGAGATTCATCGTAGATACCCAACTTCCTGGATGTCTTTCAATATTGTGAACATATGACACCATTCCACATATGTTCGAAAACAAATTAGAAGCGATTGACGATTAACTAAGTATCAGAGAAGTAGCTAATTAAGTAGCCTATCACTTGGTGCATATAATTCGAATTTTATCAGATTAATTAGGTATAAAAAAGGTATTCGCAAAATTAGTGTCTAAATTGTTAACAGAGTACCAAATGGAACATTGCATTGAAGTGTGTTTAGATCTGAAAATTGACCAACAAAATATTTTGAAATTTAGGTTTTAAAATTACAGTATTTATAATGTATACTTAACATAATATGGTCGATAACAAATCGTAAAAAAAACGGATTTACCGATTTTTAACATTATTCTGTAATATTTTTAAATACCTAATAAGAGTATAATTTATAATGAGAATGCTTAATGATACCGAATGAACAATATATTTTACCTCAGGATCATGGTTAACATAATGAATAATATTTATATTCCCTTATGATCTGTTAAATTTAAGTATTTCTGGGACTTGAGTCAAAAAAGACCAGTATCACTTTTTGGTGAAAATGAGATATAAAGACAATTATATAAAATGTTATATGATTTTTCTAGTGGTGAAAGGACGTATCACAATAATCATTATTGTGAGATTTGAAAAGACCAATATTGTTAAAAAAATTACTATTAGTCATGAGTCATAGTTTGGTAGTCGTTTCAGGTAGGTTACACATTTCCGTATTGTTACTTATACTTTGTAGTATTTCATATCACATATTCATCATAAAATAGCGGTTTTATACAATAAGTCTTATTTTAAATTATTAATGTCAATTACTATGTTTATATGGTGCAGTTTAAAACACAAAACGGTTCTGCATCATAAATGGTTTTAAATCAAAACGGTTTAAAAATGGAACATATGAACGGGATGATATTATTTTTTCATTCCGGTAAGGTCCTTTCATTATTTTAATGTATGATTCTCCGCCGTCGTTTCTAATAATGTTCCATTATCCAATAACTCTATTAACTATAGTAGTTTTTCTAAATTTATGTCAGAACTTTTTGCATTAATAAATTAGTCGAGTGATTGTTATTTTTAGCCACGCGGATACTTCTTTTCTTATTTTTTTAAATGTAGGTGATTTTTAACACCGTGACTGAGCTGCGCGACCGTAGCCCACGTCTTTAGTCGCGCGGCGATGACCGCTCCGGAAGCAGTTGAGCAGCAGTCGCGCAAACCATCATTGTTTAAATTAATAACAAAAATGTCCTCCGAGACTTCGCAAATTTGTTTTCTACCAAAGGATGATGTAAAGTTTGCTGAACTTTTAAGCAAATATCCATCTTTATTTAATGCGGAACATGAATTGTACAAAGCCCAAGTGGTTAGAGAAAATGTCGGGAACAAAATTAAATCGAGTGAATTAAAAATCTATCTCACTAGGACTACAGTGGGCACACTGTCGCTTAGTGCTCGTCGTTCATAAGTTATAGGAATTCATTCTTGCCTGCGCGGCTGAAAAAGACAGTCATGCCGCGATACGACTATAGTCGCGTGACTACAGACGCGTGTATAAAAATCACACGTTTATGATATTTCATCGGTTCATAATATTATATTCGGTTCACGTAATACTTTACTAAATCAATGATGAAACCTTAATTTCGATTCCTATGCCATATTGGCTATTTGTCACAAATAAGTTAAAAAACAATAGGTCATAATCACCGTGTATGACTGCGTGAGTGCAAAAGCGACCGGAAAACCGAAAAACCGAAATTATAATCATTACTTATACGATACAGCTATAAATATTAATATTAAAGGACATTTTTTTCCTATTAAGTCGGTGCATAACTTCGTTTTTCATTTTTAATGATCTACAGCAAGCCTTTTTAATCCAGTGTAATTATTTATCCTCGAGTAGTTTTTAGTTCAGATGCATACTAATTTCTTGGTTTTCCTGGTGGATTTTCACTTTCAATTATAATGAGATAAAATTCGTCTTCATGACAAAGAACATGCTACCATCGCGATGGTGTCTCATTGTCATCGATTTATAACATTTATTATGATTCTATTTTCACCAAATTGGATCAGTATATCCAATTATAATAAATATATAAATATATTTGTTTAATATTGTACCTATTTTCTTGTTTTTCGTATGGTTTTCCCGGTTTTTCTTACATTTCATACTGGTTTTTCTCAGATATTATGAAAATCACTTGGAAAACCAAAAAATGATCTCCTAATACCACTTGGACAATGTTTTCTTTCAAAAATGGTGCCACATGTATGTATCGAAACAAGATTTCTGGTAGAATTTTTGTACACAGTATAAAATGATAAAAAAAATCTTTGTAAAATTATACATTCTTCGCTATACTCCGAATCTAAAATATTAATAGTAAAATTATTAGGTCATAAATATTGAATAATTCCAGTGTTAGTTATTATAAAAAAAAAAAATACTTATTTTATAACTGACTTAGGTGAATATTTGTTTGTATTTTAACTTTTATTGAACTAGTTGAGTTTATTTTTTGACAACTATTAACTTTTTTAAAGTAGGTATGTATTTGATTGAATATTAAACAAAAACTTATTAATACAACTTACAAACAAAAACTGATAAGTGATACATTTTCATAAACTCGTTTACAATCGTACTTTGTCAGTTGATTAACCGTATTGAATGGATTTTATTTCTTAAACTGCCTAGTACATACCTATTGCAAACTTTTAAATTTTGAACACGATTTGATGTTTTTAAACAGTTTTTAAGTGTTTACATAGTAATAATAAGTTTTAGTTCCAAAATTATTTCATTTTAAACTGTTTAATGCAATCATACAAACGTACTAAATGATTTGTTTGAGATAACGCCTTTAATTGTATACTAGTAAAATACTGGAAATCATCTCTAGGTAAATTTAGTGTATAATATTAATGATAACTTTAACAGTTTTTCTGTTTGAATTTTAATCTGGGTATTCATTAAATATACCTCACTTAACTTTTTATTTATTGTTAACTTTAGTGACATAATAACGAGGGTTGGTTAATAATTATATACTTTAGTTTTTTTATAGCCTATTTGTAATAGGCTATAGATAATTTCATAATTTTTACAAATTGAAAAAAAGAATAGAAATTAAAATGTTCAATTAATTTGTACCACACATAAAAATACATTTAATTAATGTAATAACTAATACCTACATTAACATTTAAAAAACATATATATCGTTGCTGGCGTGCAAAAAGTAACTAAGTGAAATATTAATATTGTTGGTAAACTACAAATAAATATTAAAAATGATCTGAAAACTTACAAACTTAATAGATTTTAACAATTTTTATATTGAAAAATCAGTGAAAAAGTAAAGAATTTTAACTTTGAATTATCCAATTTTAGGTTTAATAATAACTTGAGAATAGTTTAAAAAGTTAAAAAAGCGAGAAGAAAAAAATGATCTAACTACCTTCTTAATCACTTAGTCGAATAAAAAATGACTAATTTAATTAAATCACTCAGTCAAAAAATGTGTAAAAATATATTATTATTATTATCTAATCAGTGTTACTAATCTAAAACAAATCAACAAAGTATTATTTTGAATTAGTAAAATCAATGTAAAAAAAGGTGTCTTAGATGAGTGTCTATGAGTAAAGATAAATCATTGTTAACGATAAAACGATTCTGAGCGCAATTCAGTTAATAGTGATGATTGTCAACAATATATATATTATTATGATAAAATAATTAAATAGGCATTACATATTTTCTTTAATAATATTTAATATTGTATCGATTTTCCCGTTTTTTCTCCGTTTTTCAAGATTTTTCCCATTTTTTAGGAAAATTCCTGGTAAAATCGAAAAATGACCTCTTTAAAGTATCTTTTTTGTCAAATTTATATTTAGAAAAAGTGTTATCATTTTAATTAGAGCAAAATTGATGGTAGAAAAGTCATACACAGAAAAAAAAGGCAATAATATTTTTTTACTAATACCTTCATTTCTAATATTTTCCATTTATTTCAAATTTTATCCCAGTTTTTCCCAGATATTATGAAAACCGCTTGAATAATTTAAAAATGACTTACATAAATTACCATGAAGATAAAATTTTCTTTCAGAAAATAAGCTATATTTGGTACATCAGAGTAAGATTTCTGGTAGAAAAGATTTCACGGCGAATCGAGGGGTATTTTTGGGTTAAAAAAGGTTCGAGCGAGCAATAGCTGGAAGACTCTTGGTAAACTTAAAATGCATTTGTTTTTTTCTTGTTTAGAAGGGAAAAAATAAGTGCAAACAATTTTTTTTGAAACACGGGTTTGAACTCGCGAACCCTAGGATGACAATATGTATGTACAATAGGTATGTTTAAGCATTCGGCTACGACAAACATATAAAAGAGCACACAATATAGAATTATTTAATGTATCATATAAAATCCACATGATATCAGAACTTCAAAAAGCTATAATTTTGAAACTTAGTCAGTCCGCTCAATTTTGACTTCACAATAGTTTTAAGTCGGCAATATATATATGTTCAAAAAAAAAAACAAATTGATATTAAAATTCCTTTAAAAAAATACTACATTTAACTTTTAATGAACTTCGTGTTAAATTTGTATGCGTTTTTTGTTAAGTCTAACAAATTTAACATACAGTTCCTACTGAATAAAAATTATGTACAAAACTCGCAAAATTATAATTTCTAAAATAGCTAAAAAATGGCTTAAATTGTATGACAATTTGATCACGTCTAGTAAAAGCAAATAAAAAAATTATTGGGACAATAGATCTTAAGAGTCGATACAAATATTTTTAACTGTATTTCAACAAAAATATTAAAATTTGTATAAAAAGCCTAAACATTGCAAAATTCAAAAATTTTACTATGTCTAGAAAAAACAAATATAAGTTTTCCGTCAACATTTTAAGTCTCTATGCAGATTTGTATTTGAATTACAATAATTGACAAAATTAACAAATAATAAAAGCACTATTTTCGTAAATTTCCCGTAAATTTTCTTACATTTTATCCTGATTTTTCTCAGATATTATGAAAATTGCTTGGAAAATCAAAATATGACCTCCTAAAAGTACAATCTGGACAACACTTCCTTTCAGAAATGGTACCACGCGTATATATCTGAGTAAGATTTCTGGTAGAATTTTTGTATACAGTAAAAAAGGAAAAAAAGAAAAATGAACATCTTAATTAAACCAATACATTCTTCGCTACACTCAGAATCTAAATAAAGACGAACATACGGCACACGTGGGTGCAGCCATTGTGATAGGTTTTTTTAGGGAATTTTATGCATATCTGTAATCAACGATAAACCACTGACAACGAAAAAATGATTCTGGGCGGAGTTCAGTTGATAGTGTTGCTTTGCCTCATTATCTCATAATTGGAGTAAACTTTCTGGTAGAAAAAGTGTTCACATAAAAAAAAAAAATAAAAATAAACTTCATTGTAAAACAAATTAATTCCTCACTCCGATCAGAAACTAAAAAATAAAAACATTTTTATACTTTATTAATTTTATAATAATAATATTGTCATAGAACCTTTTGTATGTTACTGTATTCAGTATTTACAGCACCTATAATATATTTCGTCAGTATTGCATTGTAATAAAACTGATCAAGTGCACTTGGCTATAATGGAATGTTATACTAAATGTATGTAAAAACTGACTAAATAACTTAGACAATTTTTCCACGTAGAAAAAAAAAATTTAAAACTTAGTTAAATTACAACAACCCATAACTTGGTATATTTTTGGAATTTTCACTTGGTCGTTTTTTTTCACGGTTATAGGAGGACTATAGTGACTAGTCATATTATTGCACTTGGTCACTTTTTGCACTTAGTCACTTTTTAAACATTGGTAACGATATATTTTATAACATTATAAGAAATAAAATGGATTGATATAATAGGTATATTTATAAGATAAATATTTTTATTTGCATAAAAAATAATACTCCGTGAAACCCTGTGATCTGATACTACACGCGTCACTAATCATTATAGGTTATTGAGGTGAAATAGTCATAATGTTTTTACTTGTTAGTCAATAATTGATCGTTAATTTATTTATTTTATAAGGTTTATTGTTTTTTTCTCTAGAAAACAATTCCTGTAAAATTAATTTACGTTGGCGTGGAATTTAATTTCATAGGAAAATTTATTTGAATTTATATACCTACGTCATCCTTTATGCCATTTGTAATTTTTGCAACAATTAACACTGCGAAAAGATTGTCTGCTTATGTACAACATTATACCCTGTCGATATTTTTATATTACGAGTATCTGTAATGTGTATATCTAACATTATATTATAAAGCATTATAATACTTGAATTTTCAGATTACCCAAAACACAATTTGATTAAAAATATCGAATCAGATAAGACAACAATGAAATTATTGAATATCCAAGCATGGGCAACTATACTTCCAGTCTATCTTGAATTATCAATTCTCACAGTCCGAGAACTAAGTAAGGTTTCTTATAAATTATTTAAATTAATTTTACTTTTTTGTTTTCAAAAAGGTGTAGATTACTTACTTGTATATTAATGTAACAAAGAAGCTTAGTTAAAATGCCTTAAAATAAAATAAAAAGGGAGTGTATGAGTGGAGATTTGATTAAATTTGTTGGGGGCTATTTGAGAGATGAACAAAAAAAAAAAAAATAATAATCATCAAATGTATTATACCTGCAGGTATACTTAGCCATTAGTTGATATATTTACAAAACGTAATAGGTACTCTAAAAAAGTTATTCCGATTTCGGGTCGATATAATTTTTGGGGGGCTTGAAGTTATTTTGCCTATGTTACTTAGACATGCATCGAATATGTTGGAGAAATATTCAAACACAGCGTCTCACAAGATGATATTCCACTATTCTCTAGCTACAAATAAAATTACAAAACTAAAAGTGAAATACATCGTAAATGGGTTAACGGGAATATAAAATGTCCATACCAAAATGTACGTAATCTTTAACTTCATCTTTTTATGTAATTTTTAATTAGGGTTGCCATTTGAAAATCAACATGTGATAGTGATTTCTCTCTTAAACACAAGAGTAATAAAAATTAAGAATAATGCGATATTTTAGAGCTGCTTTTTTTTCAAATTTTCAAAAAAAAAAAAAATATCGAAAAGAGTTAATACTTTCCTAGTTAATGAGTATCTAATGTTAAATTTATATTTTATTTTAGTTATTTAAATTTATGTACAAATTTTAGTAAAAAATAATTAAATAATCAATAGAAGAATGTCCTAAAACGACTACATATTCGATTTTAAGCTGTCTAGTTTTAAAACTTGAGTTTTGATTTAAAACAATCGATATCTTAAAATTAAGATGGCGGCGAAGAACCAGTCATTGAAGATAAGGTGGAATTGCCAAACTTACCATTACCGGGAGAGTTAAACGCACAATCACGTCAAATGTCAACAGCACAATCAATGTCAAATAATAGAGCAAATTCCCTAAATGCGGCCTCTACGGTATCCAAAACCTAGTTAAAACCTAGTTTGAGTACATAAAGTTTATAACATATTTAAGAATTTTTTTATGTTAAAACATATGTAACGTATGCACGTTAAAACAATTTTTAAAAATAATATTAAAAAAATATATATAATGTTTATTATTATTCTCTTTCTTCTCGACGTCCTTCTCCTATCAGAGGTTGGAAATCATTCTGACTATACGGTTTTTATCTTGGGCAGCCTTGAATATTTGGTTTTTGTTGCAATCAAACAATTGCCTCAAATTCTGCAACCAATTTGTTCTGGATCTCCCTTTACTCCTTTTTTACATCTTCTTTCCAAAATGAGATGAAAATTTGATACCTATTTTTCTTCTCTTATCATAAGTCCAAAATGTAGTAACGTTCTTGTTTTGATTATTCTCATTATTCCTAATCCTACCCCATGTTTCTCAGCACTTCTGGATTTTGAACACGATCTTTATAATATATTTAAGTATTTTCTATACCACCATATCTTCAATGCTTTTATGATAACTAACGTATATCATTAGCTAATATGAGTTCTCACACAAACTCTACTTATAACGTCCACCCCATGATAACGGCTGATAACGCATACATACCATTCATGAGTACCTACTCGTTTAAATTATTGTTTATATTATTTTATAAGTATTATAATATTTTTCGTTATATAAAATATTATTCCGCACGCGTGAGTGCACTCGTGTTGCCCCGTCCGCTGATCCTCTACCTATATTCTCCGCTCTGGCTAAATATTACCTATACAACAAAATACTATTTTGTGCACATTATTACAAATCCTGAAATAGTAGTACTGTCGACTACTTACACGGACTCTATTTTCCTCCACCCCCTTTTTTTTACAAAATTTTTTTTTCATAACACACACCATGTATATCAGCTATTTTGATCACTTTTAATAGATTTTTTTCAAGACTCTTCACAACTTCGAGAGACATCGGACATCCCCGCCACATTGATAAAATATTACACACATGTACATACCATATACAATGTATTTTTTTTTCCATTACACCATTAATATGATAAACCATTAGATACATATTTAAAGAAATTACATTTTTTCCAAATTTCTTCTCTGATTTCTATCAATTTGATATTAATCAACGAAAAATCTTTCAAACTTATACTTAAAAAGACGTTGTAGGATAATGGGAATGGGTGCAGCCACTGTTATAGATAATTTAACATCGATAAACTATTGCTTACGAAAAAACGATTCTAAGCGCAGTTCAGTTGATAGTGATGCTTTGTCAACAATATGCATGTTATTTTATAGTAAAATAAATAGGCTTTATATATTAAATTTAATGTTGTACTGGTTTTAATCGATTTTCCTGATTTTTCTGGTTTTTCTATATTGTTGGAAAAACTTATGGGAAAAAAAATCTCCCTAAATTACCATGGAGATTAAATTAACTTTCAGAAAATAAGCTACACTTTAAACATCGGAGCAAGATTTCTGGTAGAAAAGTTTGGACAACGAATCGAGGGGTATTTTGTGATTAAATAGTTCGAGTGAGCGATAGCTTGGGTATCTAGAATCTAAAATCATCCAAAATGTATTTGTTTTTCCTTGTTTAGGTAAAAGTGGAGGAAAAAAATGCAAACAATTTCATTCGAAAACCCGGATTTGAATTCAGGACTCTTAGATAATATTCGGCATGTACAGCTTGTAAGCTATTAGATCACGGTTAAAATTTTCAAGAAAGATAATATAGAGTTATTTAGTATAACATATTTTAATAGTCGCATAATATTAGAACTTCAAATTAGTTCTAATTTCGAACTTAGTCAGTCCGCTCAATTCTAACTTCACCATTGCTCCTAAATTAACAATATACAAATGTTCAAAAAAAAAAAAAAAAAGAAAAGACCTAATACTGAAGATGGGAGCGGCCACTGTTATAGGTGAGAAATTGGAAAGGTAGGATACAGAAGATTATTATATTTGTATACGTAAGTAACGATAAATTATTGTTTGACGAAAGACGATTCCGAGCGCAGTTCGGTAATATGTAATTTAAGTGCTGTAATTATTTTTTTGTGATTTTCGTTTAAATTTGATTTCAAAACGTTTATTAAAAAAAAAATTCGTCCGAAATTTTACCACGTCTAGGTAAATCTAATATACGTATTATTACCAAGTTTGAAGTCTCTACGTGTATTTATAACCGAGTTATAGCAAAAAACTACCAAAAATTAAAATTCCTTTAAGTCTAAAAGTGGTTTAAAAGTTTTGGCGATGAAACCAAAAGAAAGTTTGAAAGAAACCTAAACCGAAAGAAAGGTGTCTTATGACTTTCCGATAAAATCATTTTTTGTCGTAAAAATCGCCGTCCGTGTTTTTATAAAATAATAAAATCGTGAAATTGTAAGTTTTCCTACATTTTTTTCAATTTATGTGCTTTTATTTATAAAATAGCGTCAAATATCAAACAATTACCTCTCTACCATTTAGACAACTTGAGCTTTCAGAAAAGTTGCTACACGTAAAAATTCGAGCAATTTTACTAGGAAAATACTTGTCCACAGACTAGAAAAAAAGAAAGAAATAATAAAATAAATCGCTACTCTCGGAATCTAAAAAAAATTAGAAAATAAGATTTTGTAAACATTTTATATTAATATTTATAAATTTTTTCCTATGTAAAAAAAATATTATATTAAACTCAATTGTATTTTTTTACCACACAGTTAGACTTAATGAATTTCCTGTTAAATTTTCAAGCATTTCTGTTTAGTCTAACAATTTTACCATACAATACCACACAATACCTACCGAATAAAAATTACATATAAAACTCGCAAAATTAAAATGTCTATTAATAGCATAAAAATGGTTTAAATTATTTGAAAATTTGTGAATACCAAGTCCAGAAAAGACAAATATTAGTTTTTTGTCAAAATTTCAAGCCTCTATGCAGATTTTTATTTGAATTAAAACGAATAACAAAATTGAAAAACAATAAAAGCATTATTTTCGTGAATTTATCGTTTTTCTTACATTTTATCCTGGTTTTTCCCAGATATGAAAACTGTTTGGAAAATCAAAAAATGACCTCCTAAAAGTATCATCTAGACAACATTCCCTTTTAGAAATGGTGCCACGCGTATATATCTGAGCAATATATCTGGTAGAATTTTTGTATACAGTATAAAAAAAAACATCTAAAAAAAAAATAGGTAAATAAAAAAAATTAAAAAAAAGAGAATTTGGATGCATATTTTAAAAAATTTACAAATCTATGCGTATTCATATTAAAATGAAAAATATATTATTAAATGAAATATATAATGTTATAATAAATGAAAATGAATATGAATATCATATTAAATGAAAAATTCTCCATTCCAACCGAAAAATAGTTATTGCCAACCTAAAAAAAAAAAAGAAATGTTTAAATCACAAATAAATTATTTTTGACTCTCCTGTAAACTACGAGTTGTGTTGCTTGGACACTTTTGTCCTGTCATCGTCGATATTATAATATATATGAATATATACTTTATTATTCTCCAGAGGTTTCTTTCGAATTGTCGAAGAATTTTGCGAAAAAAAACACAATTAATAGCAACGCCTGTACTTGGGGGGGGGGACTCAGTGCCGAAGGATCGTATAAATAACTCACTGCGAATATTCTAGTTTTTATTTAGGTTTTTTTTTTCAAATCACATAATATTATGTAAGTTACCGTATAATAATATGTATCTCGTCAGAATGGACGTTTGAATATAATATACAAATTCATATTTACAGGTTTTTTTTTTTTTATCATAATTTTTGTTTGTTCTTTATTATAATAATAATAATTATAATAATAATAATAATAATAATAATAATAATAATAATATCATTGTTCCTAAAACGTTTATCTATAAAAAGTGACATTTATAAGTAATAATAATAATAATAATAATATTACAATAATTATATTGTAGCCTAGACGGCTAAAACAATTGAGCACAGAACACTCAAACTGGTAATCTTAATTTACACAACATCATATTAGTATTACATGATAATAATACGCAATATTAATAATATACTTATAAAATACAACATAATCAATCGGTGTATTTTAAATGTGTTTTATTTTTCGTCGGTATTGTTATTCACACGGAAACGACTTACAGTATCATACTATGTATTTCAGTAAAATTTGCACTTGTTGTAAAAAAAAAAAAAAAAAAAAAAGAGAAAAAACCGTGGATGTGGGCGAATGGGGAGGGAATACAAAATTATTATTATTATTATTATTTATGTTTTTACAAAATATCTACAAAACATTTACAAACCACAACCGGTTTGGGAAACAACAACAAAAAAAAAATTCCGCCCATCATCGGGCATGTTAACCTTTCAAAGCCATTTATTTTATTTTTTTGTTTATAATAATTTTCATTAAAGACGAAAATAATCGTCTATAATAAAAATTACGTATGCAATTATATGATTAGCCGTGGATACTAATTCATGATACCAAAAAGACGTACTTGTTATTGGATTCGGTTTCCATCCGCAGTAAACGATATTATATAGCTTTTAATTATTATGTTATGTACACTTGCAGTGTTCAGAAACCAAAAATCGAGAATATATTATGGTACAACATTGGATTGTTTGATAAAATGGACCTGTCTCCTCTTTGCGGTTCGCAGTTATTTAGAATTAAACTGCCGTGCTGCCGCACATACTCACGGAAGGGGTTCATCGTCGCGAATTTCGAAAGAGAAAAGAAATTACCCATGCGGGTTCGTAGACGACCGCCTACACCGTTGTCGATAATGTTTTAAATACCCTGCACAAGTCTACGAAGAGAGAATGAAAAATACGGTGGTTCAGTCGCGGGCGAAAAAAGAATAAAATACAGATGTGACAATCGGATAGCGTCGGTTATGTAAACGAATATGTCGTTATAAAAAACTGAAATGAAAAAAAATAAAAATTACTATTTTAATCTATCGATTTATAGACGGGTATATTTCGGCAGTATGGCACCGGATGAGAAAAACCGTCCTACAAATCTGAACTACGGCGCATAAAGATACGGGGGAACGATATAGTTTTATACTTTTCAAATGTAGGGCTATCGTTCGAATTGGACAGAAGTCTGCTATATTATAATATTGGTCGAAATCCCTTATTGTAATAATATATAATAATAATGTATATTTCAAATCACGGTTATGAAGGCCAGCAGCTTATGCGTCGAGCAATTGATGTATTATGTGACCGGTTGGTCGTGATGGTTCGTCGTTGGTCATCATTTTGCATAATGTAGACGTGCTCCCAGAACGCTCTGATTGGCTGGATCGCCCGTGCATTCCCCCAGCGTTAGTCAACAAAAAAATTTGTTCCGATGAAGTGTCTGTATGTTAAATATCAATCTAAAACCTATTCGACGCGAAACCACGATGGGTTTAGATGCAAGGGAAAATCTCGCAACAGTTTCCAGTGATCGACGGATTCGAACCGGACGTTATCGGTTATAAGGACGTCGCGTTAAACCGTTGAAACGTCATCAGAATGACTTGTGTGACACCTACTTAAAAATATAGGCCGTGTTTCCGAGTGTATATGCATATCAGAAGAACGCATAACCGGGCCAGAACTTGTTATGGACCGTTGTTTTTGATGAATTTCGGAACAGACGCGGTCAATACCTTTTTTGGTGGCACTTGCGGTCACTAATTTTTGTTTTTTTTTTTTTATGTACCTACGAATTGGTTTTACAATATTGACATTCGTGTTCATAATAATAATAATAATAATAGTAATTTGTTTAGTTCTGTAAAAACGATTCAAATTAGGAGCTGAGCACATGGAAATGTATTGTTTGATCACTTTTTGAACGCGGAAAGAAAAAATATTATGTGAACATCGAGAACAGAATTGACATCACATTAAAATCATAACACGAAGAAGGCAGTTAGTTAAACAAATTACCTAGACAGTCTTTCTTTTGTCCAAACACTTGCTTAAAAATAAATCATACAAAAATAACTGAAGTATCTTAATAAAATAAACAGAGACAAAATTTATAGAAATTGATAGTTATAATTATAGGTAATATAAAAATGTTTTTAAATATAATATATATTCTAAAAAGAACATTTACGCGTGTCGGCAACGATTAAATTATTTGTTATCTAGACTTTTTTCCTAAGCCTGTCAAATTTCGAAGGAAGGTTTTAGTTTAGTTTATTATGTTTGACATTATTCAAAATTATTATTACTATTATTATTAACGCGTATAGTATGTCAACATGGTATAATTAGACGGTAGATAAAAGAGAAACCAAGTGACCACAAACGTGTAGACCGCGTCTGTGCCGACATCCCCGTGACGCGGACAACTGGCAGCACGGTGCAGGGCATAATGACAAAAACAACGGCGACCTGCAACGAATCGAGCGGCGTTTCTCCGTGCGAAGAAAACGTGTGTACAATTACCCGAACACCGTCGCTACAATTGTTTCCTATAGTTAATAATAGTGTTATTGCTTTCTAACAGATCGCGCTCGAGTCACTATGTTTTCCCGGCCTCCGGAATTCCGTGTTGAAACTCGATCGCAATATTATTAGCGCCGTCGCCCGTCCATATTAATAACATTGTATTAGTCGACGAGTTTAATATGTCGCCGCCACTGCGTAATGTGTATTACAGGTATTCTATTGGCACGGAGTGGTGCTAGTTAACCGCGTCAATAGCTGCGGTCTGTGACGAGTTCCGGCAACAGTTTTCGCACTCGACGCATAACCGCGCGGGTTTCGCGGGACCATAATATTGTTATGGTTATTGAAAAATCCACGTGATATGAAAAAAAAAAAAAAATAATAATAATAATAATAAACCGACCGGTCGGTTGCCGCGCGAGTATCAATAGCCGTAATACTACACATTTTTTTTTCCCGATATTACACCGTTAATAAAAGAAAATTACAAAATTATAATAACTTACTGAAGTAGTACTGAGACAAGTTATAATAATAATAATAATAATAATAATAATAATAATAATATAATACCTATAGTTTGTACGGTTGTGCGCGTACACCCGACGGATAGGTACCGAAAATAACGTTAAAATTGTTGGCAGTTATAATGTTATAATGTTACGAGTATAATATAATAGGTAGGCACGGCCGTACGAACTCGGTACTCCGCGGCTCAGCGGATGACCTTACAATATTTATAATAATGTTTTAACAATACAAGACACGATTCGACTGTTATTCGATTATTTAAAGACAATAATAATTATAATTTAATATATAATATTATCGCGTATATATTTAAAAGTAAAAGTAACCCTGGTAAAATATGTACACACGTAAACCAAATATTTCAACAACGATATTTATGTAGAGTAAATTACAAGGTATATAATATTAATGTTATGTTCGTGACGCGGGTAAATGTCGCGGTATTTCTTTGATCGTACGCGTGACAAACGGTTGTCGGATATCCGTGTTTATGCGGACTCGATCGGTTTGTTTGTTTTTAGTTTTTATAGGAAGGGGATGAAAGATCGGCGCGAGGGGTGGGCGGGGGGCGGGGGGGATGTTAGGCACAATTTTTACGGTCTGGTCCGCCCGGACGGCGGCGAGCGCTTCGATATCCAAGGAGACGGGTACTCGCCGGAGAAACCCGATACGGCTGCCACAACTGTGTGTAACGTGTCTGTGTACGGGCCACAGACCTTATGCTGGTAGACGAGTGGTAACGATTACGCTCCGGGCGTGGGAGGATAGAGGGCGCTTTTCGGTGACCGAGTGACAACGCGTTTCTCGTCTGCGTTAGTGCAAGGCAGTGGTCGTCGACCGGGATGACGCGGACCCGGCGTAGAGATGACGCGAAGTCATCGGGGAGAAGTAAACAAAACGAATAAGAGAACTTCAAAATTCGTTTAGAATAATATCGTATTGTCGCCACCAACGCCACCCGAACAACAACATATAATAACATTTCCACTTCGTCATTCATTTTCAACGATCCGCGGCTAGGATTTCCTATAATCTTAATGGCTCGTGCTTTGGTAGGGCGACTCGGCGTCGGACAAGGGCGACATGAACCAATAAAGTCCGAGGACCACAAGGTCCGTGGTACGGGAACCTGCACTTTTTTTACGTCATTATAGTGACCCCGCGGAACAATATCGTTATCGTTATTATTATTTCGCACGGCAAAAACGTTTGTCACGGACGTTTAAAAAACTGTCGCGACATTTGCCCCGGCGTCACCGTCGTATCACCTTACACTATCATCGTACACCAAATTATATACTACCGTAGTACGTATCTTAGATACGGGCGCGTGGTACGACGTTATAACATTATTCATTATTTATTGCGCGAAAACCTATGAACAATAATACGTAATATTATTTATTATATTTTAATTTAATTAAAAATTTTTTTTTTTTTTTATACACATAATATAAACATCGTAATTTTATTATTATATTGTTCTGATATCTCGGTCGCGATGCGTGAGCGTCTGAGATCCACCGGGTCGACTCGACCGTTGTCGTCGTCGTCGTTGAACATGGTTATTTTACGAGCCTTGAGGGTTCGGGCGTGTATGCGAAAAAACTATAAAATAACGGGCGGTATGGCGGTGATTTTTAGTAAGAGAAAAAAAAAACAGACCATAAAAGAAAACCTGAGAAAATTTTTGTTTTTATTTAATCCACGTCCGAAAGATGAATAAAAAAAAAAAACCTAACCACGACATAATAATATAGGTACGGTTAATGGGGGATCGCTACACCACTTGGTGGGCGGGCGGGGGAGGGGAGGGACGGATAAAATCCGAACGTCATTTTCGGGGCGCACGTCTATCCTACGCCGCAGATGCCGAAAGGCCGAGAAAAAAGAGAAACCCGTATAAACGACATTTTATCGGCGTCTGTTTTTGTCCGACGATATATCATGATTGTATTATGCGTACAGTGACGAAAAAAAATTTGCGAACCGACCCGCGAGATTGGAAAACAGAAAGATCGTAAAAAATTAACGGGAAAACGAGCGACGGTACGTTTTCAGGTAATAATAAAAAAAATAAAAACGTTCCTCTCGCGGACACGATTTTAGCGAATCATTTTACGACAATCAGTATTATTTAGCGCATACGACGGTACGCGTTTTGGCGCGAATTGTAACGATTGAGATTATAAAAAAAATTAATCCAACTGGGCCATTTTATTGTTGCCGTTTTTTAATAATAGTAAACGCAGTATTCGAATCGGGGGAAAAACGGAGACGGACGCGCGGCGGGTTTCAGTTTAGAAATCGTTAGCGGATAAACGATTGCACGACGACTACAGATCACCCCTGAACACTAAGTTCATTTTTAAATTTATTTCAGTGTAAAAAAATTGCATGAATGTAAAAAAAAAAACAAAATTAATATTTTTGAATTTATGAGTTATTTATGAGTTACCGGACGATCATTATTATAACGCGGCTTGACGGAAATCGAAAATGTTATTCAAAACCTAAAACCCCGTCTATTAATGGAATGTTTAACTTTTTTGAAAATCAAAACGTGTTAAGTAGTTTTTCGATCCATTTGAGAGTTGCATATTTCTTATTAACATGAAATACAATCCAGTATTACGTATTCGAATTGTAATCAAATATAAATTACGTATACGCAGTTTGAATTTAATATATTACGGAAAAGTCGAACGCAGACGAGAACGTGCAATTTCGAATAAAAATTGACATCGCGACATTTTACTTTAGATATTATATTTTCGGAAGGATTTTTTTCCATAGCTCTCTTGTGCCAAATTCTTTAATCGCGAACGCGAAACAATTCAATTTCGGTGTAATGCAATCTGTACGAAGACATTGAAGGGAACTCCGTTCGCACACGTCCCCTCACTCACCCACTAAAATTCGAGCACGGGGTAAACGGTGTGTTTATTTGGCCAGGTCAACGTACGTTTTTCTTTTTCAAACGATAATGCGGCGGTCGAAACGATCAAAACGAGTATGGAACACCCAGAGTCGGCCTAGTGCTGTTGTTACTATCAATCTCAAATGAAAATGTGCTTAAAAACATCGCATTACTTGGTCAATACCATGACGCACCCCTTACATCCGCCTTCGCCCATCTCTTTATTACGTATAATATTTACTACAGAAATTCGCACACTGGCCGTTAATATACAATAATACAATAACAATATCATATTCTTATAATAATTATGATAATCGTAACGTTAAGTACCTATCGACTATCGATATTATTATATTGCATGGTTAATAATAAGATATTTGTAACATTTATACTAAATATACATAATAGTGACCCTGCAATTTGTTTACAAGTATAACATATACAACATTATTAATTGTTATCAGTAATATTGTTGGTAAAATAATATAATATACAATACCTAGATAATAATAATGGTTAATATTGCATTGGTATTATTTGGTTTTTTTTGTTTTTGTTTTGTTTTTTCTTTTTGTTTTTTTGTATTTTGTTTTTTTGTTTTTTTTTTTTGTTTTTTGTTTTTTTTTTTTTAATGCGTACATAGTTTATTATAATATTTCAATTTGAATAATAACCTACCTACCTATATTATTAATTTTCTTATGAGCTTAATAACGTTTAAAGTCCAGGGGATTCGAAACGGGACGCTGGAGTATTCCATTATCTTTCTTTGCCTACCAAATAATAATACCTTGGTAGGTACCGTAGGAACGTCCGAGACCGGATTTTAATCTATAAGCCCGATAGACGCAGTGAAACGATAACATTATCTGAAAACGTGAAACTGAAGCGTTAAGTGTACACGAGATCGGCTTGGATAACCGTTACAATTTATATATATATATATAAATTTCTTTTTCAAAATGTCCACATTTTCCAAATAGATTTTTCGAAATTACGGACTGTAGTTTGAAAAAAGTGGCCTGGCCGATATCGCGCACATTTCACGTTGAATTCAAATCTGTTTTCAGAACTCTTAACGCGTCGGTACAGTGATCGGACTGAATCGGGCAAATTGGTCTATATTGTTGTGCTACGCACCTGTGCGTTATGAGATAGACGAACAAAGATAAGGGAATTGGCCTGTTTCGTTCCGAAACCTCTTAATTTATAATTTATAAACAAACGTCGTATGCGCTGTCGTAAACATACTGTGGTCGCGAGCTGAAAAATATCGTACGCGCTGAATTTTCATTTTATTCCGAGTACGTTATTACAACATTAACAATTTACGCGGATAAAAAATCTGGCAACGTACGGCGACGAGCTATCTCACGGACTACAGACGGAGGCCACTATGACGCGTATTAACTGTCAACGGGAGAATTTCGACGCCCCTGTAGAAACGCCGTAAAATAATGCGCGCAAACGATGAACCGAAGAAGAAAAAGACAAAGAAAAAAAAAAAAAAACGAACGTGGAAAAGAGAGAAAACGTTTTGATTTTTTTCGTTCCTATACGTACGAAATACATTTGACGACACTATATTACAGTGCCGTTAGTCGAGTACCATGCACGGACGCTGGACAAGGATAGCCCCCCCACCCCCCCCGAAAACCTCACAGTTACGACCAGAGTCATTTTAAGGGAGGCGAAGCGCCCACTTGGCCGGGGGTCATCTCGGATTGGTAAAATTATCGGACACCCGTACATTATAGTATTCGTTATTAATATTGTTGTAATTAATTAAAAAAAAAAAAAAAATAATAATAATAATAATAATAAAACAGTTGCAAGCGAATTATATAATTATGAAATTTCGTTTTTACTCCCGCGGGGGCCTGTATGCAGGCGCTCAACACAAAGCTCCGGTAACGATAAAATAACAATAATACTCGTACGATATTATCGTGTATCGAAGACGACAACGCCGATGGACCTTCGGTGGCCTTCGCGTACAAATTTAATGTACAATAATTAATACTTAATATTAGAAATACTTTGAATAGTAAAATAATAATTTTCGTAAAAACTGTCCGCGGATGTGCGTTGACATTGACTCTCGGATGATTTTCGTTTCCGCGCATCGGGCGATGCGTGGGGAGGTACGCCTATAGTTTTTGCGGAGAGACGCGCGACCTACGTCAATGTTTGTATTCGGGAAAATGTGTTTTGTTGTTGAGCAGTGCGGATCGCTCGTTGCAGACGGTGTTGTTGGCGGCACTGGAGTCGGTCGGGCCGGAGCGGCTGCTGTAATCGTTGACCGTCGTCGTCGTCGTCGTCGTCGTCGTCGTCGTACGGGCGGGTAAAGTGCCGGTGATCGGGTAGTAGTTGGCTATCGGGTTGTTGGTGACGGTGTTGCTGGTGAGGTTGATGATGGCGTTGGCGGTGACGGTGACGGTGGCGGTGCCGCCGCCGTTCAGCCACCCCCTGCGCCGGGGCGACGACGGGTGGCTGCTGCTGCTGCTGTTGGTAAAGACGGCGGCCGACGGCGGCAGCGGCGGCGAGTGGTCTCGGCGGTGGCTGTGCGCCGACCGACGGCTGTTCCGGGTGCTGCTGCTTCTCGCGCCGTTGACGTTCGCCACCACCGCCGACGGCCATCGCGGGACGCCATCGTCGGCGATGACCGCGACCGCCGGCATGTCCATGCTAGCCGACCGCGCTATTGGTCGACGAGCTGATTTCCGTGGGCACGCCAAAACAAAACAAAAAAAAAACAAAAAAATAAAAACATAAAATTACGGAACATTGACGGGAACAAAGCGCACAGTGTTTAATAATAGTAGTAATAATATTATAATGTTAATATCGAATGGAGTACGTGAAGCTGGCACCGCAAAGTCAAATTAACTCGAACGACACGTATGCATATGCGAACAAACTTTGTTTTGTCCGATTCGTTGTACGTTTTCGGGACGACTTACAACGGTTAAGACGTGTTTGCCGGACGGTTTTCAAAAAAAAAAAAATAATTATTATTGTGACGTGATATTGTGCCAATTTCCAGTACTACATTTTTCCATATTTTATACAAATTTATGTATAGTGCTTTTAAATTCTACCAACATTTTCCAACAAATTCAATACGGTGAAAACTGTCGGATGACATTTGTGGAATTTACTCGTGACTGTGCTGACGGCCGTGTACTATCGAAACCAAAAGTGTATGCAGATGTAAAACCGCGAGGCATAATACACGCAATTGTAAATTATAACGAATCGAATACACACGAGCGAATATCGTGTCGCATAAACGCACGGGACAAAACACGTTCCACAGTCGCCCAATGCGCCTGCGCGGTTTCGTTTCCGTTCCCGCGTTATTTCATACGGCCGTGGCCCGAGAACCGAAACGCGCGATCGCCGATACTGCGGCGTCGCGGTCCACGCAGCAGTCTCAGATTCGGCGTGGGGGTGGGGGAGGGGGTCGGGTGCCGATTCCCGTGCCGTTATATTCGAGAAGTTGTTCGACCGGACACCGGGATCGTTTTTTTTTCCCATCTCCGACACTCTCGACATGTTATGACATGTTATCGACCACGATCGCCCCCGCCACGCGCGATCGCAGCACCCCCTTCGGTTGTACCGTATACCGTATACACACACACACACGCGAGCGCGCGCGCGCGCGCCAATTATTATAAATCGATAATGTCCACTATACAACGTAACTATTATTATTATTATTATTATTATTATTATTATTATTAAATTATTAGCCCCAGTGACGGGTCGGTGCATGTAGTGCGTACCTTTCGCTGTCGGGGGTATTACACGCGTTCCGACAGGAGGGCGGGTGGTCTGCCGTTTCATAGATGCTTTCCTCACCTGTTGTCGAGTGGACGGCGCCCACCACCGCCCGGGCGGTCGGCTGTTGGTACGGCGACGCGGAACCGCTGGTCGCCCTACTCGCCGGACGGTACCAGCCCCTCACGAATCTCGGCTCTTCGCATCTACAAACATTACATAATTGGGGGCGAAAAACATACGCACACGCGCGCGCGCTCCGCGGCCGCCGAGCGCGTTCGAGCGCCGCGCACGGACGGCACGGACCCGGACGGCGAAAACGCCCGGTCCGGACTCGTACCGTCCGGATTTTCGCGCTACGGGCGTTACGGCGTCCACGCCGCGTTCCGGCCGAACGCGCCGCGCGCGTCGGTCGCCGTTCTTGTCGCAGCCGCGATCGCGACACCCGTATCGTCGTCGTCGTTATCGCGCGGCGCTCTCGCCGTAATCGGAATCCGTAACCGGGTAGCACGGGCACGATGTTTGCGCGGAACGAGTAAAACCGGCCGGGTTTCGCGTTCAGAGTATGAGTACCCGTGACGAGCGCGATATTCCGTAGGGAACGGCGCATATGGGGGGCGGGGTTTTTTTTTTGCAATTATGAACGGTTTTTATGTTTATTATAACGTCGAACTGTACAATTCGAATACTACGAAAAGTGGTATTCACACCACCGTAAAAAAAATGTTCCCTGCACGTTTCGTAATGCGTAGTTTTTTTTTTTTTTTTCAAAATCAAAACACCAAGCCGGTTTAACTCGACGCTCTGCATGTCCGCATGTTACCCGGTAGTCGGGTACTGATACGGTAGACGCGCGCGTAACGTCCTCTTAGCGCGTTTACAAGACGCTACCATCGACGGAATAATACCCGGAATATCGATTGCGGAATATACGTGTGCATGCATATAAATACATGACGGGAATGTGGTTCTGCGAGCTGTACGTTCATACGAACGCAACGTTTGATGTTATCGACGGTAGTACAGATGACGAAAATCGAATTGAACCGCGCGAGGGCAGTGTACGTCCGAAAATTATGGGCGAATGTCCGAAATATTAACGCGTTGCATTCAGCGTGAATAAGACCGATGTGTTAGACTTTTACATTTCCACAATAATATAATTTATACGTGCGCTTCTGAGAGTTCGCGACGCGTTCTTTGTTAGCTATTATGTATTTAAAATAACCAGAATAATTAGAAAGATACTCAATTACCATTTTCGTATTAACATTTCGTAGGTACCTGATTACCCGGGTAGTTAAAAAATTAATAAAGTCACCCGGAGAGCAGTTAACTCTAATACTTTTATTTATGTTTTTGGTGATTGGTTTTATATTGTCGATCGCACGCGCCGTTATAATAGAGGACACTTGTTAATTGTTTCGCCTGTTCCGATTAGATTTCGAAAAAATCACTTTTATTGTCGCAAGGAGCTGGCGATCAGTACGATTTTGTCAGCGATTATCAAATATTTGAAAATTGGAATTTTTCAACTCACAAAACGGAATCAATCCCCTCAATCCTTCTATGGTTTGCGCGTCTATGCTTCCCAAATCGATAAGAGCCCTACAAATACTCGTATTTACGAAAATGATACGAATAGAAATTATGATTTTTCGTCATTTTTTAGGGTAAATAAAGGTAAACAAAAAAAAAAAAAAAAAACGGTCGATAAAACTATAAGAAGGATATTGTCGAAATATACCGCGGAGAATACCGCTACCTGACGGGTTTTTTCTCTCTGCATATTGCATTTCAGATTGGCGACCGTATCGACGGAGAATGGGGAACGAGTAAACCACGAGGGGACACCTTGTAAAAACGTCGGTGAATTCAGATGTCCGAAGACGTGAGAAAATCGTTAAGAATCCCCAGTGTAATAGCTTTTCGTCTATTATGTAGGCGAAGTTTTCGTCGAACCGATATTTTCAAAAATCGATGACGTGTCGTTGAAAAATTATTCGTCAAACTCTTTCATAGACATTTTCGAAAGTTTTGTCAGTATATCGAGAGTAGGGTCAGTCGTTGGACGTAAGTCGTTTTAGCATTGATATAAAAAAATCACGACAGAAAATACGGTATTATAAAAATATGATAGAAACGCACGTAAATAACGTTTTTATCGCATAATAACGTTTCGAATTATTTTTTTCTAAACGTGCAGATTTCAAAAAAAAATGTTATTCTCCGAATATGATTTCGATACGCGTCCGATTAGTAACCGGACGAACAAAATTTAAAATATGTCAACTAGAAATGTTCGCACCGTAATATTATACGTTAAATACGTTGCAGTTAAACCCCAAAATCCGTCAAAACTATAACTATCTAGGGCATTTGGAACTTATTTATTTTAGTTAGAACTAACTGTGTCAAATATGTACGGTGGTGAAAAGTATCTAATGGAAATTGATTTCAGAGGTAATTTCGATATTAGGGAATTTCGACCACGCATAGAGAAGAGTCGATATAAGTAAATTGGCTTATTAGGACGGTTATACGAGTGTATTATAACGTATGAAACGGGACAGTCTAACGTTTTTATCTGTTTCAGCACGTAACGAGCAATAAAGAAATTTACTTTTTTTTTTCTTTCTACACAATCAGAGATTTGATGCGCATGATTTTTGCAAGTGCACATCGCAAAGAATCCGCCGATGTCTTTTGTCGCGGCTGAACGGAGGGAAAACGATTGCCTAAACGAAAGACACCCAAAGACTATAGCTACGATTTATCGAACTCGAATTAACCATACCCACAGCTTTACGCCGTTATTGTTCGGTATAGCCGAAACAGGCCGAAGTTATCTCGTAGACGGCCGGTCGAAATTATTTTAATTTACTTGATAGCCGGCAGATCGATGTTTACTGATCCACCCGTGGTCGCGCGTGTTTTTGGTGGTAAAAATTCGAATGCATACGTTTCAGTAAAAATGTAGTTGGACTGAATCGTTTAAAATTGCCGTTCGTTCTATTTTCGACTTTTAGCTAGTAAAACCGGATTTTGTGGAAACTACACGGTTTTGAACAGTTTAGACTAATTTCGATAGGTTTCTGGAACTGTAACACACCGTAGTACAAATAGATTTTCCATTCCATTAACCCGAACCCGAGTCGTTCAATTAGGTTCGACGAAACCGCCGAAAATAATACGGTTGCGGCCACGTGGAGATTGTAGTGGAAGAAAATATTGAATTAATTTAAAATTAAACATTATATAATTCGGGTAAATTAAATTGGCGAAAGCCAATTTTAATAGGTATAAATAATATTATAGTTACCCCGGATGCGCGTCGTGTCTGTAGTGTCTATCGACTTCCGTTTCCGACATACGGTTTTCTTCTGAACCGGAAGGACTGTGCCGGACCGTGTGCTCTTGGATCTGCTTGAACAGGTCTTCGAGGTTCCGTATACGGATCGTGGACGAGGCCACTTCTTTGCCCGTATCTTCTTCTTCGTCCGCTGGCGCTGTACAATTACCGTACGTTATTTATTTAAAAACATTCGAAATGCCGAACACTCACGAATTATACTCGTACCGTACTCACCAATATCCGCCCGTCTGCTGGGCCTTCGGTACGGATGACGATGACAGGTGGGACCCCCGCTTTCCGACAGAATAGTATGGCTTTGCGGTAGTCCGTGTCCTATGAAATCAAATGTAACGGACATTTTTCAAACGTATTAAGTTTAATTGGTGACGATGAAAAAAAAGTCGGGGTTATTAGAACGTCAACGACGATAATGTCAAGAAAATATGATATCTCTCCTCTTTTCCGCGACTGTTCGAGGTCGGTCAACTTGATACTAAATCTCCTGATATGATACAGTCTTATGACTTTCAATCGTTTCTAATCGTCTCCTCTTTATAAACCTCCACATTCATTTTAAAAACAACATTAAGGGTTTTCTAACTCAACATCTCTTATGATTATGATTGCTTTCTTA